CGCTCCTGAACAACAAACAATGTCAGAAGCATCTTGCCTGGGCTAAAGAAAAACAGAGCAGGTCTGTTGCTCAGTGGTCTCAAGTCCTCTTTTCTGGTGAGAACAACTTTTGCATTTCATTTGGAAACCAAGGACCCAGAGTATGGAGGAAGAATGGAGAGGCACACACTGCAAGATGCTTGAAGTCCAGTCTGTGTTGATTTGGGGAACCATGTCATCTGCTGGTATTGGTCCACTGTGCTTCATTAAGTCCAGGGTCAATGCAGCCATCTCCCAGGAGATTTTGGAGCACTTCATGCTTCCTCCCACAGATGAGCTTTATGGGGATGCTGACTTCATTTTCCAGCAGGACTTGGCACCTGCCCACACTGCCAAAAGCACCAAAACCTGGTTCAATGACCATGGGATTACTGTGCTTGATTGGCCAGCAAACTTGCCTGACCTGAACCCCATAGAGAATCTATGGGGCATTGCCAAGAGAAAGATGAGAGACATGAGACCGAGCAATGCAGAAGAGCAGAAGGCTGCTTCCATGCCACGCTGCATTGAGGCAGTAATTGCTGCAAAAGGGGCCCAAACCCAGTACTGAGTACATATGCATGCTTATACTTTTCAGAGGTCGGATATTGTTCTATGTACAATCCTTGTTTTATTGATTGCATGTAATATTCTAATTTTCTGAGATTGTGGATTTGGGGTTTTTCATCAGGTGTAAGCCATAATCATCTCAATTATGACACATCACGGCTTGAACTATCTTGCTTTGCATGTAGTGAGTCTATCTCATATATTAGTTTCACCTTTTAAGTTGCATTATTGAAATAAATGAACTTTTGCACAATATTCTAATTTTTCGAGTTTCACCTGTATGACCATTGCTGTGTCACAAGGTCATGGGGCAAACTTTGGCAACTTTTTGACAAGCAAAATCAATGGGGAAGCTAGATTCACTTAACAACAAAATTACTAACTTATCAACTGCAATGATTCACTTAAGAACTGTGGCAAGAAAGGATGTAAAATGGAGCAAAACTCACTTAACAAATGTCTCAGAAATTTTGGGCTCAATTGTGGTCATAAGTCGAGGAGTACTTGTATAGCTATGATTATAGAAATTGTAATCCCAAACATCTGGAAATTATGTTGGAAAAACTGACAAGCAGCTGCCATATAGACTATTTCAAATCACTGGTTTATTAGTCCTGTCAAGTTTTAGCAAAAAGGTAGTTAGACTTTGCAGAAACCTGAATAAATCTCATTAAGGAGTTATTATGGTGTATAAATCTCATCTTGTTTTAAAAAGCTGCCCTTTGACCAGAATGCTAGTGAAGATGGACAGTTATTCATAATTTCTAAACCTCATTTTGGTTTGCAACGATTGAAAGGAAATGAGTTTGTTATTATTACTTATTTTAAGGTTTGGCCATCTCCTGAGATGTGGGGCATTTAATAAACGTGAGATTCTGCGGCTGCCTTTGCTTATTTAAAATCACTATTTGAATGGATGTGTCTGTACATGTGATCAGGCAATTTTGAGTATTACTTTTTGTTTGCAAGTAGAATCAAAACTAACATCCCCCTTATATATTTTTACAAAATGAATAGTAATAATTGACATTTAATTACTGAAAAGGAACAAAACTAGTCAAAATTTAAAGATTTTTTTTAATTCTGCCACTGCAGAAAAACCTGGCTTTCTAGTCCCCACCAGCTGACATTCTTTGGCTGATAAGATCTTCAACATGCCCATTCTGTTTGACCCAGTAGGACAAGACTCTTGAAAAATGGTGATCCTTCAGGTACTCTGGTCCCAAGCCATGTAGGGCTTTATCGGTAACCACCAGCACCTTGACTTGCACCTTGGAAATGCACGGATAACCAGCGCACCTCATGCTGGAGTTTCATGTGCCAAATATCTGGCACCATTTATCTGACACCACATTTTTATGGGTATAGGGAACGAGATGCTCTAGAGGGAGTTTGTCATTTTTTCTGTATTTGTTTTTGTGCAACAATAAATCTATAACATGGTCTCCACTATTAGTTTTGTGTTTCCTGTCCCCCCAAAAATCATCTTTTCGGCAGTTATGAACAGAAAGTGTCCAGAGGCAGCTCTAAGTTTCAAGTTACTTGCTCCAAATTTAGTTGACAAGTTATCTTCAACAGGACAACTTATTGTTTAATATGTGTCATCCAGCTACAGAAATCTTATTTGACGGATTAGACATACATTATCCCCTCAAAGTGCCTCATGCTTGACAGATCAGATCCCAGCCTCCTATTAGCTTACAAAAGAGATCATTAGAAAGGGAGGAGAAGCTGGCATTAAGCAGGGAATAGCATATCTTTCTTTCAACTGCATCTGTTTAGGCCAAGTTCCAGGTGAGCTTTAGACTATAAATCATTTTGAAGAAGGCAGCAGCTTTTTATTTGTTTTTATATGATTCATGTGCCTGTTGGGTTGAGCAGCAGGAGGTGGCATATCTTTTTAAAAGATAGTATCTTTTCCTTTGTCTAGAGGGCTTCAGGAAAAAAAAACCACATATATGAAAAAGATGTGTGCTTCCATTTTCATTTAGATGTTTTTAAATAATATTTTAATTGACTGATTGCAATGGACTGATTAAAAACCTGTTGGCCATCCTTGTGCCGTTCAGATATGTTGGAACTGAACTCCAACATGCATCAGAGGAAGGAGGAAGTGTCATAAGGTTGAGACTGGCTGATGTAAACTATCTGTGATGACCCAGAGTGTAACATAAATGTAACAAAATCCAAAATGTAAATAATTGTCTTTTAATGCCTCCAACTTGGCCCCAGTGTTCAATAATTCTCAGTTGGAGATAAAACATATTCAAAAATAGTCTTCAAAAGAAAGTGATACAGTCTGAACTTAATGAGCAGATAGAGGTGAAATAAAAAAAACCAAACAAACTACAATGATGACATTTCCACAACGGAACAGGATAAGTAATTACCAAATTCAAGGAGATAACAAGGCATAGTCTGTTGGAAGGACACCAACCAAGATAACTTCAGCCCAAAATAAAACACACTTTGCTTCTGGCAATGTTGTGTTGTAATCATCTCTCTTATATACTAGTCTCCCCAGCAGCAACCAATGAGGAGGATCATGGCCACCTCCTCTCTCGCAAGCCAAATTGTTGCCTTCTCCATTCCCCCTTGTGTGTCCTAGGATGCAGAGGGGATGGGCCTGGTTCTTCCTCTGACTGCCCAGCCAGTCATTACCCTTCCCCAGCCTCCTCCACAACCTCCGGAGCCATACCTCCACTTCCCTATTGGCTGTTCCTCCTCTCCCTCAGAGTCCAACTGTACTAAGAGCATGACACTATCAGTATTTTTATTTCTTATTTCTACTTCCTAGTAATCAGAAATCATGTTAAATAGGCAGATATTTTCTTATGAAAAGAGCCCAGAGAATCAAAGTCCTATTTACATAACTAAAAAGAATAATACACACGTCTGTCTTGCAAAGGATAATGTGTAAGAACATTCAGAATGTATTGCTGTTCCTTAGATCCAACTATTCATGCATTCATCTTAGCAGAATTGGTGGCATTTCCCTCTGCTATCCTCATTGGGACATCTGGTATATATTTTTTAGCTTCTGGGTATACTATATCTGTGTATGCCAGCATAATGCTTGGAATAAAAATTGGATTTGCATTAAGGTATGTTGATAAAAACATAAGCAATCATTTTCACAACCTTAAAAATCTTTTTAAAAATCAGATATTGTTAATAGAAAATTATGATTTGCAAAAAGTATCATGTTTTGAAACAAAAACTGAATGATATTGATGGGATATTAGAAAAATAATAGGAGAAAAAAGGTGTATTGGCAGATAAAGGGGATGTGCCATGAACTGTCAGAATTATGTATTCATAACTGTTCAAATGAAGTCTTACTAAATTATCTTACTTAGCTTGTTCCCAGGTAAAAGGAGATCTAAAACCGCAAACTTAGTCCACAGCAAAATAAGTTTTCTTTGATGTTGTGCTTATGAATCACAAATACAGTACATTTGAAGATACTAGCCCATCAGGTATCTTAAGGAATTATTGTCTAGAATTGTGAATTGCATGGGAAATTATATAGGAGACTACTCAGTTCTTGGAGAGTGATGGAAACTGTGACAAAAGGGCAGGGAATGAATACATCTGTCTCCATTCTTCCTCTCTGTTTAATGAGGTAACTTGCTCTTGAAGTAGTTTACCAAAACTGTTCAAGAGGATTATGCAAACATCACACACTGATGAAAATGTAGGATTCTGTCATTCATGTTTTTAAACTGAACACCTGCTTAGTGGAGTACCTACTGTGTGTATCTGAATTTTCAAAGAGATTGTTTGATTTCTCTGCTGTCTCAGTGTTATTTCAAACTTTATATATTCTACTTTCATGAAAGATTAATATTCCCAGGTAGATAAATAAAGGTTGCACATTGATTAATTTTGAGAAACCATGTGATAGAATGAGTAGGCAATATTTGCACAAGGGTTAGTTGCTGAGTGTATTAAGAGTTATATATGATGGAACATTAACCAGGGAATAAGATAAGAATGTGTATATCTCCTTGATTATTTAAGAAACTTATTAACATACAAAAATGGTTTTGGAGGTGTTAGAATTTGGTTGATTGAGGACATGAATATACATGTATATTGTATGCAAATGTTGCCAAATTGTTGACTCATGTGATTAGTAGCAATTGCAAATAGAAAGCAGTCAGCTCACTCTGTCTCAGCCCAACCCACCTCACAATGTGTTGTTGTTAGAAACGCAGAAGGCATTAACATTAGAAGGCAGAAGGCAGAATAGAGTATCATAGAATAATAAGAGTTAGGAGGGACCTTGGAGGTCATCTAGTCCAACCCCCTGCTCAAGCAGGGGAGTCTACTCCAAATATTTGCCTCTATCTAGGATCGAACTCAAAGCCTCCTAAAGCATTATATACACTAAATTGAGCTATACAAGCAAGGATCTAAAAATTAATTTATGAATGACAAACATGTTTGGCAGAGAAAATACATATGAGAAATTAAAAGTTATACATGCATGTTAAAACTAGAAAAAGTAGATAAATGTATATACCTTGGCAGAATATGAAGAAATATTAAGACAATAAAAACAGGAATATACAGTTGCATATTTTCCAACATATATTTTTAAAAAGTTCTTTTAAAGTTGTTGTGAACTGCAAACCACAGAGATTTATGTCTTTAAAAACATGTAGCATTTCTTTTTTTTTCCTTCCATAGTTTAATACAGCTCCCTTCCTAGAATCTAGTTAACATCAGGTTTGTAGTATGGAATTAATGGTTCTTGAAAGAAGCAAAAATGGCTGTATTTAAGAGGATATTTTTGCTCACTTTATTATACAGAAGTGGAAAATTTGGTATGTCAGGAAGAGCATTAAAGTAAGGTGAATGAAATTCAAGAAGGATACTTTAAAAAGTTATAACCATTGAAAGATAAGGTCAAGATCCAGTGACAAATGAATATGTTTTGAATATAGATTCCTTCTTGCTTTGAAATTGAGGCATCTGGACAGGCCAAGTGCTACAATATATACGTTATTTTTAAATGTTCATAAAAATGAAGGAATTATAAATAAAATCATAGGTAAAGACTATGTTGTGTACTTCCTTTAATTTCTCTGGGATTAAATAATGCAGAAGCAAGCAGCAGTGCTTTGTTAATTTTACACTCTCATGTTGCTTCTGGCATGTGGACAATTTCAAGTTAAACTCTAAATTGTGAACAATTCCTAAAAATAATCCAGTTCATGAACAAGATTCCAAAATCAATATTACATTCATTAGGACAGTTTTCATATTCAAAAGTTATAACAACTACTTTTGATTTATATATGACAATAGGTATATTTCCCATGCAAGACCTGTTGGACATTGAATTTTATACATAACAACTTAAAAGTAATTTCTTTCGTACAGGATTGTAGCTGAAGGCCTGGGCATTTTTTTCACATGCTACACCCTCATCAATTCCAGGAACAGGATAAAGACATTTATATTGGATCCTTGTCAATTATACGTAATAGCATTTGTCTCATGCACCAATATTCCAGGAAGAATCGTGTTGATTAATGCCATGGACATAGATACATAAATTTGGGAGTCACAGATCAAGTCTGATGCTCTTCCTGTTGCCATAACATATTCTTGTAAAAACTAATGTAGTCCCTGTAAAAAAAAATGTTTTGTTAAAAATCATATTAAACAATGGAATATTTTCCAAAATGGTGTTTGCTTCCATTGGTCTGAAGAATAGGTCACAAGCTAATTGTGACCATGATCCAGCCTTGACAACTGGGAATTTTGAACAAGCCTTTCCCACTAGCATCAAGACTAACATCATATGCAATTTGCTTTAGCTCGTGGTGGAATCATAACAAATGGCGAAAGCTTAACTCTGTCATACAGAATAATGCCATACAGAATAATTATGTAATTATTGTTGTTGTTATTATTATTATTCAATATTTTAAAAATTCCAAAAAATTTCAGTGTTCTAAAAGAGGTGTTTTCACACTTATTTGGCTAAAAGAAAGTCAGTGGATCCATAGCCTTCTACATCATAATGAAACTCTTTCCAAGATTTCATGCCAACAGTAAAGAAGTCTTTCCATTGACAAATCTTTGGGGATTTCTCCTCCTTCAGGAATGCTCTGTCAATTCTTATCCTGCAGTGCCAAATTCTTGTCTTGCATGGCATCATGTAACACCCACATTTCTTCATGTAAGTATTTTAAAATTCCCCATGTATTACAGCTATTTATTAGGCTACTTAGCAACAATTACTTCAGCTAGCAATTATGTCTAAATTACACACTTTGAAAAAATTAATAAATATCATTGTGTGTTTTTTCATATAATCCCTGCATTACTATCAATCCCATTAAATGCTGTAAATACAGAAACCCTTTCAAAGATGTCCAGTTCCATGAATTACCTGACCATGTCCATGGAATACTGTGATGATCTCTGCAGTAATGACCAGTATTCATTCATCTGATTAGAATAAAAATACGATTTAGTTTAACAAGGAAAAAATGTTCTATGGATATTTATTAGCATTGACAATCTCAGAGAAGCTAAAGATGATAATTCACACTTGTAGCTCTGAACCGAAAGGCAGAATAAAAACTGAAATAATAACAATTTGCAGACCTCCCAGCACCCCCAAAGAAGCACATTGTCTTCTGCAATTAATGCTATCGTAGTATGGTAACTATAATTCCCAACCAGTGTGACAGGCAGTCCTTCATTTATTTTTCTGCCATTTTGCAGTATTTTTTCCTTTCCTTTTTCCCCAATTTTCTTTCTTTTTCCTTCTTTCTTTCTTTCTGTCTGTCTGACTGTCTGCCTGACTTTTCTTTCTTTCTTTCTATTTTTCTTTCTTTCTTTCAGAGGATGAATATGGTTATCATGTCTTAGTTTAGTTTAGTTATGTTTTATTATAAAACAGAATTAACATCAACCCAATATAGAAGGGAAGGGAAGACACAATATCTCAGGACATAGCATTGCAAATTAAATACTGATTTTGCATTGAAGTATAGGAGAAAAAAACACAAACTGAGAATGCATACAACTAGGCTTAAACAATTAACTAAAATACAATATTTTCATAGCATCAGAATAGAAAAGGAACTTAAAGATTTCTACTCTGACCTCCATGCTCAGGAAAATTCCCTACAATATTGAATTGAATGAATAAATATAGCATTTCTGATCAATGGCCATTACATGTCTGTCTCCATGAAAAGCAAATGTGACGATATTTTCTTCTGGTTGACAACTCATACAATCAGGAACTTTCTCCTGACTTCTACTCTGATTCTACTTCCATGTACTTTTAATTCATTTGTTCCACTCTGGGGCAGGAGAGGCTAACTCTACTTTTCGTTCTGGGTAACATGCTTCTTAATATTTCATCCCCAGAAAGATATTTCTATAATTGCTGTATTGTGGGGGGGGGGGGGGGGGGGGGGGGGGGGGACTATTTCTTAATGTAAGATGCCATTGAGAAACAAATAAAAAATTACAGGGGTGAGAAGGATAACAAATTACTCTTCATTGTATTTAAAAAACAAAAACAAAAACAATTAGACTTCACATTCCCAAAATTAGATTGCACAATATTCTGAATTTCTGATTTCTTAGCTAGAAATCCATTTGTGTCATTTCCTACTCAATTACTGAAAGTTGTTGTTACTGTTACTGTTGTTGTTAATTATTATTGTTGTTGTTGTTGTTGTTGTTGTTGTTATTTGCACAGCTTAAGACTGGAGAAGTCGCTCTTACACACGAAAAGCATTAACTATTTAAACAAAAACATCAGAATTTAGCACTAAATTCCTTGGTACCAGGCCCATCCCAGTTGAGTTATGGTTATAAACCATGATCCTCAGACTGATAGTTCTGAAATGTTTTTCCAATTCTTCCTAAAAGGATTATAATTTTGATATTTCTGAATGATTCGTTGAAGAGAAAAATCAAGTAGATCCAAACTCCTTATAATGAATCTTTTTTTAAATCATCATGTTATTATCTCAAGTAAAATCTTTGATTGTGAATGGAAATATGGTGTTGTGTTTCAAACCCCACTCAGTCTGCGTTACTTTAGATGAGTCATTTTTCCTCTGGTCAAATCTTCATCACAAGGTTTTAGGCCAGCATAAGTTCCCCCAGGGAAAAGGTGAATTGGAAATTGAGTAATAAATATAGGTTTTAAAGATGTTAGAAAAGGTCAGTACCTGTTCAGACACTGTAACTGCATGCCAATTGGCTGGGTAAGGTAGCCTCTTAAGTCCTAAAAATTCATTATCTTCGTCTTGAGAGACAAATGGTAGTCCCCAAGCCACTGAAATGACAAAGCCACAAGCTTGACAGTCATGGGTTCAGAGAATACACAAAATCTAAAATATACTGCTGTATGCCAGATTTCTCTAATCTGATGGTCTCTAGATATGTTCTACTCATGGGCATCTGCATGGGGGCAAATGACATATGTGTCATGTGAGGGTCATCACACAAATGATATGAATTATGTATGTTCCATCAATCATATATAATGTCATAATACATATTACCTCATTGGGCCTTTTCCTGGATGCTAGATTCTACTCATAACTTTTGGTCACACCAGCTATGGAAAGTGTAGTTATACTCTATGTTAGTTATATTCCAGAGTACTATGCTAGGGAGAAAATTTCTGTGTTTTTAATATTACTAAACAATAGATTAGGCTGACTTTTATAATCCACAAAACCAAATATTATTTTGAAAGAAAAAATACATCTAATCTGAGTCACCATAACTTTCCAGTTGCAATCAATTATACCCAGTGAAATTGAGTTTGATAGTGTAAGAGCACTTCCTTGCAGTTCTTTGTGAATCTCAGCAATTCGTTCAACCAAAATTAATATGCATATTTCAAGAAGAAGCGTAATGCGTTTTAAAAGCTTACCTGTAAGCAGAACAACACAGGTCGTCGCATGAAGCATTATAATACTCATGGTGCCTTCTCTGTCATTCGAAAAGTAAAAACTGTATCCTTTTTGACCATTTGATTCCCTTTGCTTTATCAATCATTTACTCTGTGTCTGAACAGTTGTGCAGAAAGAGGGCAGAGTCCATTGTTGCATTTTCATGTTCCATCGACCTCTCTGTGCCCTTTAGACTTTCCTACATGGAAGTTTTGATTCACTTCAGACATGTTTTTCCCTTCTATGCATGGACACTGGACCCATTAAACTTTAAACTTTATTGCAAACACGTTTCCAGTATTTTTGCCTTGTGAGCAGAGCTGGGTGAAATAATTTCCTTCTTGAAATAAAGACCAATATGGTCCCTTTTTGCTGTTCCCCATTGTAAGGAAACTATAGACAGCACCCTTTAGTGCTAGTGAATCTCTTCTACAGTTACCTAGGATAGGCTAATTTAAGGAATCCAGTATAATTTTCCATATCCTACCTGCTCATCATTCCACCACCTGAGGATGTGCAGGCCAACTTGTTGCAGATTTCTGTCAGCATTTCTACCTATCATCTGCCTTCCACGTTTATTATTGTGCAGCTACATACTAAGCCAATATAGATAAGATGCGGAAGCAAGCATGGAGTGGAGAAGTTTACAATCAAGCTATTAAGAGCATGCCATTTTAAAGAAAAATTCTTTTCAAATAATGGCTTGAATATTTTGGGTTTTTTTCATGCAGTAAATTGGGAGGGCAACTTGCAGCTTTAAGGCATCTTTCTGGGTGTTACCATAAAAGGGGACCTGACCTGGGGTGCTTACATTGAAGCACTGGTCAAAAGGGCCCAGCAGAGATTATACTACCTGAGGCTTCTCATAAAACAACAACTGAATGAGTAACTGCTGGTGACCTTCTACCGCTGCACCATAGAGAGTATTTTAACTTACTGCACCTGTGTATGGTTTGCCAATTGCACAGTGGCAAATAGGACAGCGCTCCAGAGGGTTAATGTCATTGCCCAGAGGATCATTGGTTGCCCTCTCCCCTCTTTGGAAGAGCTTTATAGCTCCTGCTGCCTTAAGAAAGTTCAAAACATTCTTGAAGATCCATCTCATCCTGGGCACCCTTTTTTTGAACTATTTATTTAGTGTATGGCAAACACATGGACTTATAATAGTTCAAATGTTAATGTCCAGTCTACCCAGCCATTCAAAGACAGGGTGGTCTATGTTGAAAAAATCAGACATTGGGCTGGTGTAAGCTCTTGATGGACACAATGTGATGGATATTTTGTCACACTGAGGGGTAGAGACAAGACCCCACTTAAACAATGAGTCCTGGCAGACACCATGTTGGTTATCCTGTTCAGAGTTGACCAATGCTGGCGAGAAAGGTCAAAACCTGGCACCTTTTATGTAGAGTCATCTACATAACTGCCTGTATCTGGGTGTTCAGCAGCCTATTTGGCTTTCCACTGTGAGTTGATGTCAAAGTTGTTAGACCTGTTGAGCGAGTGCCAGAGAGGGCTTCCTGGATTTAAGCCTGCCAATTGATAGATGAGGAAGATCAGTGTGCACAGGAAGAAGTGGGTTTCTCATAATTTTGTTGTACTCCTTCACTAAGGCTTCCTGTAGGGCTAGTGGTGCTAGGTGGCTCAAGACGGGGAGCCAGCAAGTAGGAGTAGATTTTATGCAACCTCTTATGATCCTCATTGTTTCATTTAGTTTAGCCTTGATCGTGTGGCAGCTGTTAACCCAAATGGGGGCACAGTATTCAGCTGTGGAGTAGACCAACCCTAGTGCTGATATTCTGAGAGTAGAGGGTGAGGCTCCCCAACTAGATCCTCTCAGTTTCTGGAGTAAGTTGTTCCTGGTATTGATTTTAGCAAACATGTTCTCTAGGTGTTTCTTATAGGAGAGAATCCGATCCAAAGTTACTCCAAGGTATTTGGGGTGAGGATCATAAGGGAGAAGGTTGTTATTCAGGTAGGCCTTTGTGGTGACATTGGCGAGTTTGTTGCTGAAACGGTGTTGCTGAAATGATATTGTTGAGATGATTTTGATGAGAAGTTGTTTCAAAATTAGGTGATTTCACAATAGTCAACATTTACAAGCCACCTCAGATATCCTGGCTACAGCATGTTTTGGATGTCAAACCTCACCCTGAAATTTATGCAGGTGATTTTAACATCCATCATGTAAATTGGAACTATTGCTCTTCTGACAAAAATGGGGATCAGCTTTATGACTGGGCTGTTGCAAATAAAGTCCACTTGATTTTTGATGCCAAAGATAAGCGCACTTTCCAATCTGCTGCCTGGAAATGTGTAACTAACCCAGATTTGTATTTTGCCTCAGAAGGCCCAAACATGCAGCCACTTCCAATAACAAGGAAAGTTCCTGAGAAATTTCCTCATAGTTAACACTGTCCTGTTTTGCTTGAAATCGGAATTCAGATTCTCCTAATTTGCTCCACACATAGATCCAAATGGAATTTTCATAAAGCTAAATGGTCAGAATTTTCCAAAAACCTCGACAGTATCATTCATCGGATCCCACCAACCAGTCAACATTACTATAGATTGGTGAGGACTCCAACTTGCTTCAACTAAAAGATGTATCCCTCGAAGATTCAGAAAAGATTATATTCCTGGATGGAACAAAGAAACTGAAGACCTTTACCAGGTTTTTCTACAGAGTGGCGACCCAGAGATTGCTGATGATCTGTTACACAGCCTGGATGCAGCTCATCGCAAGACATAGTAACAACTCACAACCTCATTAAATTTCAGCAAATCCAGCAGGAAAGTCTGGAACCTACTAATGAAACTGGTAGCTGACAGACAACTGCTCGACAAACACCCAGAGTAACTGCCGATCAAGTAGCCTCCCTCTCTAAAGCCCCAATGGTGAAGGACCAGTCAACTACGATCATGAAAGTGCTCTTACCCTTTCAACGGTCGGCTCTAACACACTCTGAATTCACCCATCCTTTCTCTGTGGACAGTCTGAAGTCCGACAAAGCACCAGGCTTTGATGGCGTCCACCCCGAATTTCTAATTCATTCTGGGAGACTAAAAAGGAATTGGCTCAGCAAATTCTTTTCAAACATACTTTCTAGCAGACACCTCCCACCAGAATTCAAAAGGGCCAAAGTAATATTGCTTCTGAAACCTGGCAAACCACAATACAGAGTAGAAAGCTACCATCCCATCGCCTTTCTGAGTTCTTGTTACAAATTTTTGGAGAAACTTATCATAAACAGAATTGGACCCACATTTCTGCCCTTGGAACAAGCTGACTTTCATCATAATCGCAGTTGTGTTGATCAGGTGCTGAGCCTAATTGCACATATTGAGGCTGGTTTCCAGCAAGGCTTAAAAACTACAGTTGTGTTCATCGGCCTTACTGCAGCATACGATACCATGTGGAAGAAGGGTCTGCTTTACAAACTGAGACACATCATCCCCTGTAAAATCCTCTATCACCTAATAAACAACATGCCCAGCAATAGATCCTTTCAGATCACTATGGGGGACAAAGTTAGCAAGTTTAAGAAGACTCAACCAAGGCCTTCCACGAGGTTCTGTACTGGCTCCCACAATGTTCAATCTTTAGATCTCTGATATGCCAGCTACAAGGGGACATAAATTTGGGTATGAGGATGACCTGGCCCTAGCAGCAAAAAATAAAAACTTGGAAGTATTGGACTGCCTCCTCTCTGAGGACCTGAAGTTCCTGGGAAAATCCTTTGTTGACTGGACACTCATGCCCAGTGTCAGCAAAAATGGTGACTACCTGTTTTTTTTTAACTATTACTATCTGGCAGACAGTACAGGATAATAAAAACAAGGACAAATAGGCTGAAAAACAGTTTCTATCTCAGAAGAGTAACTACATTCAATTCTACTGTATAGTGCAATATTAATGCAGTATTATTAATAGTTCAATTGTATAGAATGTGAAGGATGTGTGTTTGTGTTTTATTTTTATAATTATAATGTACACTGAAGATGGCATTTAATTTTGTTGTATGAGGTGCAATGGCAATAAAGTAAACTAATCTTGTGATCCTCAGTATAAGTTTAGCTTCCTCGCCAAGATTCATGAACAGATTTTGCCAAAACTAATCACTCCATTTGTTTGAACCAGTTTGCATTAATACAATCAGTTTCTGCACTTCCACTGTCCTACTTAGAAGCTATATATTATGGTTCTTTATCAAATGGCTGCTTCGAATTCACGGATCAAAAGGGAATCAAGCAACCCTTTGTCAAAGGGAAGTGTGGTGTAGTCTCTCAAAATAACCCAAAACCCAAAACATATATTAAAGTCCGGTAAAGCCTTCAACTTAACTTCACTGTTTTATTAGGCACAGTTTAAAGTCACAAAAGTAAATAATGAGATAAACAGAAAACCAAAACAAACCGCATTGATGAGAGTTCCGAAGCAAGCCGAGATAACTACCGTGTTTCTCATATAATAAGGCCGGGTCTTATTTTTTTTGAGCCCCGAAAAAATGGCTAGGCCGTCTTTTCAGGGGTAACTTAATTTCCCCCCTCTTGCATCTTCGGGCGGGCGGGCGGCGATGGCTTGGATGTTGACCTCGGCGTTGGTGGGGCACTTCATATCAGGGTCAACGCAGGCAGCACCATATCCGGGTGTGCAACAAAAGTACTTCCTAACAGCAAGCCCCCCCCACCATCCCCCCCATTTCGCATGTTTTAATATAGGCCTTAATTTGGGGGGAGGGGCTTAATTTCATTTCATGCCTATAAAACATGCTGGGACTTCCTATTGGGGGAGGCCATATTGTTGGAGAAACAGGGTAATTATAAACTCCAGGAAATTAACTGAGAAAAGTCCATGGGAAGAATGCCAACAAAGATAAGCCTCTTTCAAGGTGAACACTAATTGACTTCAGCAATTCTAACTGCGCAGTTGCAAACTTATATACATAGCTCCCACCTGCAAGCCACGAGGAGGTTAATGGTAATCTCCTCTTGAGTAGACCTCGCTTTTCCCTGATCCTCTCCTCCCTGCGTGACCTAGGATGGATAGGGGATGGGCCTGGATCCTCCTCTGACTGCTCAGCCGGCCTCTGCCCTTCCCCAGCCTCCTCCACCACCTCTGGAGCCACATTCTCACTCCCTGTTGGCTGTTCCTCCTCTTCCTCAGAGTCAGACTCCACCAAGGGCATGACAGGAAGCAACCCTTCCAAGAACTTTAATATCTAGACCATGGCCTTTTTATGACGTGTGGAACAATTCCCAGAATTCCTGAGCTCAGATCTAGACCATTCAACAACCAGCTATACTGGCTAGGGAATTCTGGGAGTTGAAGTCCACACATACTACAGTTGAGAAACACGAATCTAGACCTTTCGTAAAATCAGACAAGACCAAAGTCAGAGGAAAAAGGATGTTTCTATGCACTTTGGTGTCTGACCTCACCTTTGATTAAGCCCATTTAAACAGATCAGAATATAGGAAACTGTTATAGATATTACAGCTGTGGAAATATTATGCTTTGGAAATAATACAGAAAATTGGCCTTGGCCCTTGCCAGCGTGGGACTGTATGACCTCTTCAAAGAAGCCATGGTTTTTGTATCTGCTTTGAAAAGATGCTTCAGGCATATCTCTGTTCTTTTCAAAAAGCGACTTTTGAATCATTTTCAAAGTATATGTGTATTCATACTATGTGTCTTTTTTCTCTCACTGAATATTTGAAAAGAGGTTTCACACAAGTTATGGAAAATATGTGAGTAGGATCTCACATCCTGCAACCTGAATCTGATGTCTGGAATAGTCCTAAAAATACTGAATCCTTTGGAAAGATTTGTTATAGTACCAGTATGGAAGTCCATTAGCCTTTTGCATTGACAAGAAGATACAAAGTGAAGTCTTCTTTCATCATAAAAAAAAGTAAACAAGCAAACCTTAAGTGTTGCTTTGCACTGCAAATTCATTCATTTTCAAGGGAATAACAATAATATTTTTCTTTATTACATAATACTAGAGCTGAAAGGGGTCGTTTCAGCCATCAAATACAACATGTTGTTCACCAGAGGAATCTGAATCAAAGAATGATTGACAGATGGCTTTTCATTCACTGTTTGAAAGAGGAGCTAACTGCCTCTCGTGTAGGTGACTGAATCTAGAAAACGGATTGGAGGAAACAGGTTTTGGCCGCTAACCTGGTGCTTATGACCTATCAGAGTGGACCTTTTTGCAAAGGCAATTACAACTCATAACTCTTAAATATTCTAATAATGTGTGATTTTTCAGAGGAGCTGCAATTCACTTAACTGCAAGCCATCATCTTTGAAGCTGTAATTTCAAATGACTGGTTTTGGATGCAATGTCATCCAGTCTTATTTACAAACCACCCAAGTTCCTATGCACCTTACTACAGATATGATGGATGGCGGGTTTTGTGAATGTGGCCGCCTGCCTGAATACATCCCTGCAGTTTTCCTGGCAACTTTTTTGGAAGCGGTTTACTACTGCCTCCTTAAGGTTGAAAGAGAGTCACCAAGCTGGCTTCGTGCCTAAATCAGGCGTAGTAGAATTCCCCGGCTCCTCGATAGTAGCCTAGTGCCTTAACCACTACACTAAACTAGCTCTCGGTGATAAGAGTATAAACGATTATTTACGCCCACTAAAAGTGATTGGCTGTAGCTGATGAGAATTACCTGTACTATCTTATAGTAATGACTAGGCATTCCGTTACAGTAATTTGGGCTACTTTCGCGTCCGGACTCTGCTGCAAGGTTGTTCCCATCGCTTTCTCCACAAGAGGGCGCCTTCGGTCCGTCTCTCTCTCTCTCTCTCTCTCTCTCTCTCTCCCGCCCTTCCCTATTCCGTAGCCTTTTCGCAGCCACGCCCTGGTCGCGCTGCGTTGCACGTGGGCGGCGAACGAAGGGTTGGCTCGGTTGTTATCTCTCGGCGACGGGGCTGCTTCGCCTTGGCAGCGTCCATGGCCGGACCGGGTCTTTATGGAGCTCTTTGTAGGGCGGAGTTAACGCTGGAGTTTTTGCATGCAAACTCGTGAGTGAGACAAGAGACAGTCACTTTTTGTGTATCGATACGTCGATTAGGCTCTGCCCTCAATGGGGGTAAAAAAAAAAAGTCCGTTTTCCTGAATATCAAGTAATACTGATAACTGTTTGCGGGACGGCAATTTTTCATTCAAAACCCAAGGAATAACCAAATTATCAAACCGCGGATCAAACGGTTGACCAAGTGTTTTGACAAACTGGGAAATCCAGGGAGTTGAACTCCACCCATCTTAAAAGTTCTCCAAATATTGAACACACTTCACTAGACAAACCGAGGGTGGGGAACTCTTTGTGCCGTTCCGCATAACGTTTGCTTGGGAATGAGTCCTACTCATGATTTCGATGGAATAAAAGTTCCTGAGATTGTGGCATCTTATAGATGGGTACATTTGCTAGCACATACATTTCTATGAATTGCATCTTTTAAGGTCCACGGTATTTCATGATAAATGCTTTTAAGAAGTGCGTCTTAACACCGAGTAGAATTGCATGTTTTATACATTAGATTGAGCTGCATGTTGATTCGGGTCAACGGTATTAGTCCTATTGGATTTAGTGGTGGCAATTCTCGGGTAAGAACAGGTTTTTAATTTTGGGCAATAAGACACCCTAGGGAACCCAGTCAATCCGTATTGCAATCAATCAGATTTGTTAGAAACAAATCTAACTGTAAGCCTGATAATGAAAGAAGTAAGAGGGCTAAGAATAAACACAGAAACATTAACTAAAAGAAATGTTGAAGATAATAAGGTTCGATTAAAAAGATAAGCCTTTTACCTGTCCTAGTGTTTGAGCATTGGTCCCTGTTCTTGTCTGCTAGTTGGGGTGAAGGATCTGCTGGGTGTATCTTACGATTTATTATTATTGTATTTTATGATTATCATGATTTATACTTGTATGTACACAGATCTTACGCATTGGAGACAAATTCCTTGTGCATCCAATCACACTTTAATGAATAATTCTATTTTTCTGTGACATACAGAAAATTAATTGCTCTTACTTTCCCGCGTATGTACCAATATCTCTCAAAGCAGTATTTATCTCCCCATCTTCCCCTTTGAGTTTTTCATATTTCAAAGACTGCAGGGTTCTAATGCACTCCAAATCCTTTTTTGTATTGCCATTTTCTGCATGTGTAATTTATCCCTGTGCTTTCTGGCTTCTTTTGTGTTAAAATTGCCTTAATGCTTCTTTCTAGCACAACACATGACTTTGTTTTTGGAGCAATAGCTGAACTGATTGACAATTCACGGTAAATATGTTGCTTTTAAGGTCCATGTTTTATAATAAGCTAAGCTTTTCATTCTGGTACCTGAGTGCCTTTCCCAGTGGCCTTTTATTCTGTTTTGTTCCTATTTTATTTTCCCCACCAATTTAGACAATAATGTTATGGTACTTAGACCAGCTTCATTGGTCAGGTTTTGTATCAACAGTACAGCTATGGCTGGAAAACTGAACAAAACCAATCTCTTGTATAGCCTTCTCCAAGACTTTGCATTGAGATGGGTTAGGATTCTAGCAATTAACATTCCACCGTGCCTGTAGTGGGGAATCTTGCTCCACTGCCATAATAGCTACTTATACCTGAAGGCTTCTCAACGAGTCATAAGTTCAGGGACCGGATCCTTTCAACCCTGACAATGGAGCTTCTGGCCAAGCTGGTGTGGACTGACACAAAAACTTAATTAGTTGTTTCTTTTGCTTCATTTAATTAAATGCTGTTATTTAAGAAATCAGCTTTAGTCTTGTGCATCTGTCTTGGAGAATAATTGACAAGAATCAATGTCACCCATTGATTGGGCTAAGTTTTGGTCCTCTTTGAAATTTGGCCTTTAGCATAATGAACCTTCTTAAGGCTTATTTATTACGCTTCTAACTGCAGTTTCTGAGTGATGTACAAACTAGTTAAAAACTATTCTTGAATATGAAGCATATAACAAAGAAAGTTGCATATAACCAAAAAAAGTTGCATAGTATACAAGATAAAATAATCAGGCAGCCATGAGAATGATAGTAAACAAAACATAATTCTTATTGTTCAGTGCCCTTATAAATTGTAGGAGTGGGAGATCGTGTCAACTGCAAAATTCACCTCCCCAGTGCTTTTTTGGGTGGTCTTTTTCACCATAGAACTGCTCACATAATGTGCCATGTGCACTGACATTTCTTCAAAAACTACCTTTGAATTTAGACAGAGCAATCCAGTACCCCTTTCAGTGTATCTCAACATAGATGGGAACTTGTAGATACAGTTGGGCAGAATAAATGGAAGGAGAAGAAAGATAGTTATTTTGGTTCTTCTTTTGTTGTTGTTTGTTTGCTTGCTCACAGTCTTAGCATAGTGTTTTTTTAAACAATTATTTAATTTCTTTCTCTAGATTGGAAAAATGGAGGATTGAGAGGAAAAAAACTTTTGGCCTCTTTTTCTGGGGTTTGAACTGGAATTCCAGATGCAGAGGAGAGAATTCAGCCTAGTGCAGTCCCAATATTGTAGTTTTTTTATTTTCTATATGTTTAATTCACTGATTTGAGGGGCTTAAACTTATACTTTATTGTAGCTTTTCAATTAAATTTTATTATGTTTTTATTTTGCTATTCAGTGGCAAATCATATTACTATGAGTTGACGCTATTTAAACTAGAGTATTCTGCTTTTCCAGGACATAAATTCTTAGTAAAAAGGTAATACTTATTATTACTCTGGTGTTTGGTTTTTTTTTAATACTTTAAATATATAAACCATATTTTCAGAGATGCTGGCGCCACAAGACTTGACATTTATACTGGTGAGTTCTATATAATTACTAATTTGTATATTAAATATGTACTTTTCAGTGACTTCTTCCCTTGATTGCATTATTTTATTGGACACTGCATTAAATTTACTTATTACCCCCCTTGTGAAAATAAATTCTTTGGAACATTTCTTTCTTATTTGACAAGGCAAAGATATATCCTATACCTGGGTAGAAGTCACAATGTTTATGTCTTTAACCTAAAGATCTAGTGGCAAATATGTACTTTGACATAGATAGACAGACAGACAGACAGACTGACTGACTAATGTATGGTAGTTTATTAAAATGTAATACAGATATATGATGGGAGGAAAGAAAAAAGAAAACATTACTGAATCTGATAACATATATTTTATTTATTAATAAACATGTTTATGCTGTCCCAAGGATTTGATAGTGGAACATGCAGCCTTTTATTTTCCGAGGCCTTCAGTTGCCTTTTGTGTTAGGGACAACATTCCATAAAGTGGGCATCGCCAGGAAAAAGTTGCATTTTATTTAACTTTGGCTTCATTATAATCAAATTAATTTATTTATTAGACATATTCCTCATGTGTTTTTCTCTTCTTCCAATTTATAATTTGATATCAGCTTTTATTTAGATGGTTTGGGGGAGGGAGAGGAAGAGTGGTATAGCCAAGGCTTTGTAGGGAGACAAAGAGTGCCGTACTTTATTTGAGATTAACTAGATGTGTAAAACATACGTTATTTAAAATTAAAATTAAATTAGTCATTGCTGAATAAATGAAACTAACTTCGAGTAGTCTGTCCTACTTTATTGCAACCTTCAGCATAGTTATAAGAATAGGGAGAGGATCTATAAGTTCCTTGGATCAATCAGTCAATAATTTCCTTGGACTTCCCTTAACTCTGATTCTCCACCCCTCACCCCCCACCCCAATGGTTTTTTTTTTCTTGTAAGCCCTGCCACCTGAAGGGGTCAGAGAAATGTGCAGGTAAGAGGAAGCACCACCTGCCTTTTCTGTGCCTGGTTGGTTTTCTCTAAAACAGGATTTCTCAACCTTGGCAACTTTAAGATATATGAATTTCAACTTACAGAATTCCTCAGTCAGCACCTGGCTGGGGAATTCTGGGGGTTGAAGTGTACATGCCTTGAAGTTGCCAAGGTTGAAAAATACCATTAGAGATACTACTGAGGAGGGAACTAAGAACAAAATTTCTCTTTGCTATGGTTTCTCTTTCAGTGAATAATGATCACCTGCGAGGAGGATTTACCCTGTGCTTTCTAGATGATGGATGTGGCATGTCCCCTTGTAAGTACTGTTTCCTTGAACAATAGTGTGGTGTCATGGTTTCAGAGTCAGATTTGGTTTGTGAACCCTTGGGGAATGGGAAAAGAAAGATCCCTATTCCACGTGCATCAATGCTAAATTGAGCCCCATTTCTGCAAAAAAGGAGAGATAGACTTTACTACCAGTAGACAGTGGTTGTAGGAAGGTGAGCCAAACACTGGCCTGTGAGTGCATAGATTAAACTGTGTGAAATTTACTTGTTGACCATTCTTCAGTCATCCTAGTTCATTTAAAAATGAAGTGTATTTCAACTTCCAATTATCCTTTCAGTATAACAGAATTTCTTTATAATATCACTTGGATGGTATCTTATCCAATGGGACAAAATGTGCACTCGGTTACATTCCATAGCACAGAGTACCAGCAGAGTGAAAAGAGGCAGAAAAGGGTATCCTTGATGCCCGCAGTTATTTTTAGTATCAGGGCAAGAGCTGGAGTTCCACCAACATTTTCTCATAAGGAAATTTGGATCCTGATGGAAAAAATGATTTGAAACCTGAATTATTTTTATTAGGGATGGTACCTGAATGTTACAGCAAAGAAGAAATATAGTTAATTATTCATGTATTAACAGCAGCTAGGATTGTTTTTGCTCAGAATTGGAAAAGTGATAAAATACCGCCAGAGGGAGAAGTGATTGAGAAAATATTTGAATGTGCAGAGATGAATAAATTAACACTGGCAATTAAAGAAAAAGAAGAAATTGAATATTACCTGATATGGGATCTATTTTATCAATGGTTGGAAAATAAAACAAAACAGAGTAGATGAGTGTATAGAGAAATAAGATTGTTATAACAGTAATAGACATAAGAAATAATGGATTATAAAGAAAATGTGATTATTGTTATATTGGTAAGAAAAATATAGTTGTTAGCACAAGGTATATGTACCCAGACGACACACTGTATGAATGAAAGATGAAATTACTGTAAATATAAAAATAAAAATTATTATTAAAAAAAAGGACATTTGGATTCAAATCACAAGGAAGACCAGGAAACTAACTCAATAGTCAGAGTAGATATATATTGTCTATAACAGGGATGTCAAACTCACAGTGGCATTACGTGACATATTGGGACTTTTTCCCCTTTGCTAAACTAGGCAAGGGCGTGGCCAGCGCATGATGCATCCGGCCTGTAAAGTCATGGAATCAATTATTAACCAATCCATTCTCCTCCACTTAGAGACAAACAACCTACTCTCTAATAAACAATTTGGTTTCAGAAAAAAACTATCCTGCAATCTGCAACTCTTACACTGCAAAAAGATATGGACTACACAACTCGATCAGGGCAAAGCAATAGACGCAATCTACATAGACTTCTGTAAAGCCTTTGATTCAGTGGTACACGACAAACTACTAAAACTAAAATCTTATGGTATCTCTGGACAACTGCACAACTGGATAGAAGCATTCCTATCAAACAGACAACAAATGGTCAAAATTGGGAGCGTCCTATCAAATTCGGTACCTGTCAATAGTGGCGTCCCCGAGGGCATTGTTCTCGGACCAACTCTCTTCATACTCTACATAAATGACTTCTGTGATCATATTAAGAGCAACTGTGTTCTCTTCGCTGATGATGTAAAGCTGTTCAATACCATAGACAATACTGCTACCCTTCAAAAAGATCTTGACTATGTATCAGAATGGTCAAACAAATGGCAACTTCAAATCTCAAGAAATAAATGCTCTGTCTTACATATTGGCAAAAAAAATCAGAAAATAAAATACAAGCCGAATAGTCAAGACCTTGATGATCCAAGCTCTGTAAAGGACCTTGGAATACTCATCTCTAATGATCTAAGTGCTAGAGCCCACTGTAACTACATAGCCAAAAAGGCATTAAGAGTTGTTAATCCTACGTAGCTTTTTCTCTGGTAATATCACACTACCAACTAGAGCATACAAAACATTTGCTAGACCAATACTCGAGTACAGCTCATCAGTCTGGAACCCACATTACATATCTGATATTAGTACAGTTCAGAAAGTCCAGAAATATTTCACAAGAAGAGTTCTCCACTCCTCTACTCATTGCAGCAGAATACCTTATGCCACCAGACTCGTAATTCTAGACCTAGAAAACCTAGAACTACACCGCCTTCGGTCCAATCTAAGTATAGTATATAAAATCATACATTGCAATGTCCTCTACCTGTCAATGAATACTTCAGCTTCAACCAAAACAATACAAGAGCATACAATAGATACAAACTCAAGGTTAATTGCACCAAACTTGATTGCAGGAAATACAACTTCAGCAACAGAGTGGTCAATGTCTGGAATACTCTACCTGACTCTGGTTTCTTCCCCAAACCCCAAAAACTTGAACCTTAGACTTTCTACTATTGACCTCACCCCTTTTCTAAGAGATCTGTAGGGGGCGTGCATAAGCACACCAACGTGCCTACCATCCCTGTCCTATTGTTTCTTTTATTTTTCTTATATGTACCCATTTCATGTCTTCATAACTATTTATATACTTATACCTATTATCTTGTAAGCGATTGACAAATCAAATAAATAAATAAATAAAATAAAGTACTTGGAATAGGCAGATACTATTCGATGATGTTAAAGCTTTCATCACACAGGATGTAAGCCATTCAAAGTAAAGCTGTCTTTTGCAATTGACCAGTGATGATTTTGATAATGGTAACAGTGTTCAAGGAGTGCTCCAGTGTTTTGGGATATATTGTTAATATGATAGCAGTTTTGAATAGTACAAAGTTATTTTCCATGTTGTTTCCCATGGCAAAAATATGGTACTTCGACAGTTTGCCATAGCTTGGATTTTTCCCCTTTCTTGCTATAAAGTCTACTGGTTTGGGATTTCTTGAAAATCTTGAATTCTGGTAATATCCAAATGTGGTCCTTCTAAGCTTTTTTCAAGTTCAGGTATATAGAAAAATAGAGGCAAATCTACTATGTGAAGGGATACTGAATATAAGAAATCTAACTTTGTAAACCACTAGCTTTTGACACATCAGTTCTTGGACCACAATGAGTTGCTAAAGATCATAGTGATGAAGGACCGAGTTATTAAGTTCAGATTGGCATATATTGGGTTTGAATGTCACATATTACAGCCACTGCGTAAGTAATTTTAGATAAGACATAATCTTTTAAGTATGGACATATAACACATATATAGATAATAATCTCTACTTAGAGAGTTACAACGATTAATTATAATATGTTACAATAGGAAATTTGAACAACATTTGAAATGTTATAAACCTATTTTAGATGAAGCTACAGATATTGTATATTTTGGAAGATCTTCTAAGAGAAAAGACCCTACAATGATTGGACGTTATGGCAATGGATTGAAATCGTAAGACTTATTTCTTTTTATATTTTATTATATAGTTTTTATTCTGGTTGCCATGAAGTACAGGAAGAAATATATAAACTGCCAAAGTCTTGCAGGTTAAGTGCCATAAAAATAAAAGTTTGCACCAAATCTAACAGTAACTACTATCACTAATAATATCTTTATTCACAAACATATGCAAACTTGTGAAGCAATATATAAGCAATGCTCTTGTATTTGAAAAAATGTATTATTTAAAATACATAATAAATGTATGGACATAAAAGAAAATTGCAATCAGTATGAAAGCAAAATTATGTTATATTGTTGCAAGATATGAAGATAACCTTGACAATATCAACAAAGTAAAATATAATTTTCATTGTACCATAAATACCTGGGGGGGTGGATCTGTAATAGATATACTTGCTTGGTTTTAAAGAAACAAAATCCAAGGTCAGTTTATCATAAATACTGAGATAGAACCTTGCCTTGTGTGTATGGATAGGATGGACTTATATTTTTGTAACAAGTGGCTACCATCTTAAATCACCATAAAACAACCCTTATCCTTATGTATGACGTATGTGGGTAGATAGGAGATGAGAAGGAGACTGAATGACTAATTAAGCATTTGTTAGAGAATGAGGAAATGCACAGAAAAGAGTAGGATACAATTCAAAGCTAAAATTTGAAAAGAATAATCCTAATATTCCACTCTGGATTCTGATGGTAACAGAGAAAATAAAACAGTGAAAAAAGGAAATGTAAGAAAAAGGAGACAGTAAAGGAAGCCAAATAAATATGTGATTAAACTTTGGCTGTAGCATTTATATCTTATATGAATCTGTCTGGTATTATCAGTTTTTTAAATCAGTAAAGTAAGGAAAAGAAAAAAACTATTCAGATTCATTAGTTGTTCAGATTCATTAATTCATATTTTAAAAATGTTTTTTTCTATATTTTTATTACAGAGGATCAATGCGAATAGGGAATGACTTGATATTATTTACCAAAAAAGAGAATACAATTACGTGTCTTCTTTTCTCTCAGACATTCTGCGAAACAGAAGGTCTCAGTGAGGTAAGTTTGTTCACAACTACATTTTGAAGTATTTATTCCCATTTTTATGTCCTGATAAGAACATCAAGGTGGTTCAGAAACTGTTATGTAATTAAAACATGACCAAGTTTATAGACTGAAATAGCACTAACACAGAAGTGCAAAAAAACCATAACAAACCCAAAGAAACATTATATATTGCATTTATATTTTTGTCGTTCCTTCCTACTTACATTAAAATGCACAGTGTCTATTCATGTCGCCTTTGTGTTATTTTCCAGGTTATTTTTATATAAATGAAAAATATTTTTAAATCCCACTGAATCCTCCACAACAAAATATATGAATTAACTTATAACCAAAAGAGAGTCTCTCTAGCATGCAACCACTCTATATGTTTTATTCATGGGTTTTGATCATTGCAAGTCAGCTGATTCTTTTTTCCAATGCCATATAATACTTAAAATGAGCTTATAAAAATTACTTATTGCATATGGGCAAATTTGGAATATGGGTAGCACTTTCATGAATATTTATAGAACTGACTACCTGATTAGGAAATTCCCCATTTATAAATTAGCTGTAATTATGGGGGAAGCTTGACTTAAAACATGCATTTACCAGGATATAAGATGGATTAAGTTATGTCCACTAGGCATCACCCACTCTTATTTTTATGTTATAAAAATATTTATAGGTTTATATATGCCTTAGGTGTTCAAAGATAAAGATGATACTAGTATTTTACCCTCAACATCCAGTTGTAGTTGTAAGTATTGTTGTGTGCATTTTCACCCATCACAAGAGCAGAAAATCTGGCAATAAGATTTTCTCAACTGTGCTTGGGAAGACAATGTCATCCTAGAATATCTATGTCCCATATCCTATCCACAAGAAACAGTTCCTTAATATAAGGAAACTTGTATGAAAGTTTTAGAACAAATTGCTGTAATGATTATAAATGATGGCTACTGTCATAAATCCTGCCCCTTCATTTCTCATTAAACAGATGACAATAGAAGAGTGGATAATAATCTTCTCTGAAGATGGTGTGTCTGTTATTTCTGTCTGGCCACTCTGCTGTGACACTGATTGATGGGATGTTTTGAACATACATCTGGTTCTGGGGCAGAAATTCATGTTCCCATTTAGTAATAATGTTTTGCCTGTGGACCTAATTTTAAACCATTGAAGAAATGTGGGAAAGAGAAGGCTGAACATACAAATACAGGTCATGTTCTTAGTATTGAAAGTAGCCATCTATGGTCCAGGTTGCAAACAGTTCCTAAACCATATTTTTCATGCCCCTCTTATTACTACTGTGTTTGGACAGTTTAATTATTGCATGTGGATAACATGGTGGATCAACATTTTGAGGCATTACAAACAAAAACTGTACAGTAAGCCGCAAAAGGTTTGAAACAAACTCTTGAGAAAAACGGGAAATATCTGTAGTATCCACATGTGTGAATGGTTATTTGAAGTGAAGCTCTCTTTATTTCCAGAGTCTTAAGTCCTCACTTAATGATCACAACTGGGCCTGAAATTTTGATTACATGTCATTGCAGTTGTTACCATTTGGTCATTTCGACTCAGGTCACCACAAGACCTGACTTAATTTTTACAACTGTTTTGAGGATGGTTGTAAACCAAGTCACCATGTTTGTTAAGTGAATTGTGTGATCATTAAGCAAATTGTGTGGTCATTAATTCAACATCTCCAGTGAGTGCTTTTTTGCCATGTTCTGCCAGAAAGTCACAAATAGGGGTCACTTGACTGGGACAATGCAGTTGGTTATAAATATAAGCCAGTTGCCATACAACCAGAATGCAATCTCATGCCTGGGGAAAGGTGGGCGGGAATGCAGGTGGCAGTCTAACTTTGAGGATAGGTCATGAGTGACTTCTTTTGAGTCCTTTGTAACTTTGAAAGAGAATCTGTCGTTACATTTTAACATGTTTAAATCTTAACTTAAATAGATAAACCACATATTTATTTTGTATGTATGTATGTATGTATGTTAACTTTAAAATTGTTAATGTTTACTTATTTATTTGTTTGACTTGTATGCCACCCATCTCATCTACAGGTGACTAATATACTGTATAGTTTTAGCCTCTAAATATAGTCATATAAATTTGCTAAACTATTTAATTGGATAATTAAAAGTTAATTAAAAATGAATTTTCAAGGTTACCCGGACAGAAGTTCTTCTCTGAGAAAATAATGTTTTAATTGAATAAAAACCTTTAAGGCATTTATAACAAGTTAAAAGACTTTTAAGGTCAAAGAAATCATAAATGTATCATTACCAATAATAAGATCCCCAGTTTTTTATTTTACTTTTGCCTCTTTTTATGACCTTGCTTGCTACAGTTGTAAAGTGAATCACTACAGTTGATAAGTTAGTAACCTGGTTGTTAAGTGAATCTGGCTTCCCTATTGACTTTGCTTGTCATAAGGTTGCAAAAGGTGATCACATGACCCCCGGAACACTGCAACGCTCATATAAGTATGAAACACTTGTCAAGCATCTGAATTTTGATACAGTACGTAATCATGGGGATGCTGCAAAGGTTGTAGCTGTCAAAAACGGCTATAAGTCATTTTTTCCAGTGCCGTTTAACTTTGAATAGTCACTAAATGAACTGTTGTAAGTCAAGGACAACCTGTACTCTAATGTTGTTGGTTACAGGTCATAGTGCCAATCCTTTCATGGTCAAGTGACACAAGGACTCCAGTAATAGATGATCCTGAGAAATTTTCTACACAATTGTCCGTAATTTGCAAATATTCTCCTTTTAATAATGAAGATGAATTGATGAACCAGTTTAATGCCATTTATGGAAAAACAGGTACGTTTACCACTTAAATTTAAATATTAAGTCCACATATACCAATATTGCTCTGTCTTTTGCAGATCATTGCCTTAAGCAGTAGCATGAGTACTGTGAGCTGAACCAAGGAATGCAGCAGCATAATTAATATGGGTCAATTGAGATTGTAGCAATTAGCAAAAAAACCAAAAAAAAACAATAGACTAAAGATTGAGGCACTATTGTTTCAACACTGAAACAGACAATGGCTGCAACTAGTGGATAGATATTTTTCCAAGATTAGCAAGTGCAATAAAGAATTTTAAGTTGATCCTTAAGCATCTTGAATTCAGAACTTCATGGCCTCTCTGGAATTCTTACCCATAAGTTACGCTTTCTGTTCTTGAACCTGAAATCCAACAGAGCCTGCACTTCCTTAGAATAGAATATAGACTTCAGAATCAAAAAGAAGGCATTCTGCATATCCTGAGTCCATCAGTATCTTGAGAAATTGGAATCGTTAGTCAGCCTGAATGCTCTTTACAGCAAACCAATTTTCAGTTGCTGTGTGCATGTATGAAGGCCCTCATTTGTTGTTGACTAACATACAAATGTAAAGAAAACTTCCAGCCTACAGAAAAATTAAAGAAAAACTAAAAATGGTCTTGAAGATTATGTAGATTAAATAGTTGACTTGGAAAGCCATGTTACAGTTACCCTTTAAAGAAAATTCTGAATACAATTTCTGTAAAATAGAAATTTATGTGGCTTTCTACTACAGCTAAAATAGAAAATGTATTTTCTGTATAATGTATTTTATATTTAAATGTGATGACTTCTTTTTGTGCTTTCCCTATAAATGTGCACAAAGTGGTTTATTCATAAATTTATATACATGCTTTTGAGTCAGTAATGTAAGATCTAGCTGAACAAATTTTATGAGAAAGACATATAAATCCTATTTTATGATGATAGAAGAAGGACTGTATAAAAAGATCATGCTGATATTGCTTTTACTGTCAGAAGCCACTTTGGACTCTAAGCGTTCTTCTTTCACATATTACTGGAGTAACAGGATTCTGTTTTTCTGGTGATAACAAAAATAGTGTCTTCTATTATATATTGCTAAAAATTGATTTTCACCCAAAGAGCGGGATCTTAATGTAGAGTACACAAGTATCCATACATTGATAGTTCAGAAAAAGATATGCTATCCCATTATAGTGAATCTTCACTGACATTATAAGATCTTTTTGTGGGGGGAAACAATACAACTTGTTATTTGCATATTCAAACCTAGGAACCCTGCTGGTGATATACAATCTGAAACTTGCATTGAATGGGGAGCCAGAACTTGATATTCTAACAAATGAGAAGGATATATTGACTGATAGGATGCCAGAGAAGTAAGTTATTATGAAAAAGAAAGTAGGATGTTATTATCTTGGAGAAATAAACGTTATCTCAAATTATTGGCCGTGTTGTACCTTGCTGTTTAGACAAGCATATGAAGAATATTTTTGTTCTTAGTTGCCTTCAGTATGTTCTTTCCAAAATCCCAAAAAATGTTTTATATGCCTTTTTGGGAAGGAATTGTCCAGCACCTCAGTTTTTCTGACTGCTTTGTATGATTTCTTTCACATCAGTAATATACTATATTGTCTCTATCCAGTACAATTCTCTAATTGAAATTTATTTCGCCTGAAATATTTTCTACACCAGCTATCCAGAAGAAAAATCACTAAGAGCTTATACAGCTATATTGTATCTCAACCCACGAATGAGGATATTCATTCAAGCTGAGAAAGTCAGAACCAAGCATTTGCTTTTCTGTTTTTACAGGCCCAGGTGAGTCAGCTTTGCTTACAGTTATAAAGGCACACATTTAAATGTTCAAAGCAATGTGCGTGAAAGCACTAGGTCACCACATTACAAAAAAGGTGTTGAGACTTTGGAAAAAGTACAAAGAAGAGCAACTAAGATGATTAAAGAGACAAAAACATATGAAGAACAGTTGTAGGAATTGGGTTGCCAGTCTAGAAGAAAGAAGGACTAGGGGTAACATGATAGCAGTATTCCAGTATTTGAGTGGCTGCCATAAAGAAGAGGGGTCAGTTTATTGTCCAAAGCATCAGAAGGCAAGACAAGAAACGATGGATGGAAACTAATCTAGGAGAAAAGCAACCTGGAATTTAGGAGAAACTTCCTAACAGTTAGGACAATTAACCAATGGAACAGCTTGGTTTCAGAAGTTGTGGGTGCTTCATTACTGGAGGTTTTTAAGAAGAACCTGGACAGCCACCTATCTGAAATGGTATAGGGTCCTCTAAGGTCCCTCCCAGTCTATTCTGATTGGTTGATTAACTTCTTTGGTCCCAGTGACAAACTGATTTTGATTTAGAAGAATTTATGACCTAAGACAAACTAAAATCACTCTAACAGTAAATCAATTGGGACCTAGAATTTGGAACACTTTAAATCAGATAATCACTTTAGCAACAGGAATAGGCTTTATTTGGTTTACTCTTACTGCTTTGAATTCTATTTTATTGAATGTGGTTTAGAAATGTTTCTGAAAGATTACTGCTGAATAATGCAAATAATGCAAATTTCATGTTTTGTTTTATTTTCTAATGAACCTCTAATATTTTAATACTGTCACTTGCTTAGGTAGACCAGATAGGAAACACGAACAGATTAACTAATTTTATCTTACTTAAGGCTACATTAACAGAATCTTGAAAGTTTCAAAGTACAAATCTCGGGCTGCCTCCTTTACAAATCTGAGAAGTTAGGGTGTCTCCTTTCTGAGTCTCCTTGTCTGCCCATTAAGTAGCTGTGACCCTATCTATTCCCTAAGCAGCCTTTCTTCCCCTTCTTTCTCAAAGTCTTTCTCACTTAACCATTACAAATGCAGCATGGATTTGGAAGTTTAGTAATTAATATCCTGGAACTGGTTATGGTGAGGCTAAAAACAGTTCTGGAGGCTAGAAGATAAACTATCCATTGATCTCTCAGATCTGCCTGTTTGAAAAATAATCATTTAATCTTACGTGAGAACAACAAATTAAATATTTTAACCAATTCCATGATACCTGGCCAGGTTGAGTTCTATGTTTTGCAGATATAACCATTTTAGAGAGAGAAAGAACTAAAACCCACTTCACAGTATTTGTTAGTTTCAAATTCTGCTTCAGTTACGGATTATGAAGGTGGCTTTTGAAGGCCTCTAGAAACTCCTGGGAAATTGGGCTTACTGTACGAAAGTTGTCTTTATTCTCCTCTAAATAATTATATAGTGTAAATGACACATCCATGGACAGAGTTCTGCAGATATCTTCATTTGTGCATAAAGGGAATTTTATATTATCATGTATTTGGAGCCCTGGTGGTGCAGTAGTTAGAGTGCAGTATTGCAGGCAAACTCTGCCCATAGCCTGGTTTTCGATCCTGATGGGCCTCAAATTGACTGAGTCTTCCAACCTTCCAAAGTCGGTAAAATGAGGATCCAGATTGTTGGAGGCAATATGATGACATTGTAAACTGCCACTACAATTTTTTTGACAAGATTTTGGAAATAGTTGACATTCCTGCCTCCTAGGGCTGAGAGGGATTGACTCAAAGTTATCCAGCTGGCTCTGTGCCTAAAGTAGGAAAAGCAGTCACAGTCCTGGTTTCTAGCCAGGTGCCTTAGCCATTATACCAGGCCAGCCCTTGTATGCATACTAATTCTGTGAAATTCATGTTTTATGTATTGATAGGATGTATCCATATACATCATCTTCATTCAAACAAATTGCTACTTGTGAATTACAGAAGGCACAAATGGAACTAAAGGCTGGTATGCAGTATCCAATATTCATATTTATATATATATATATATACTAGATATATACTTTAGTTCTTTCCATTATTTATTTATTTATTTATTTATTATTTATTTATTTGATTTGTCAATTGCTTACAAGATAATAGGTATAAGTATATACATAGTTATGAATACATGAAATGGGTACATATAAGAAAAATTAAAGAAACAATAGGACAGGGACGGTAGGCACATTGGTATGCTTATGCACACATCTTAGGAAAGGGGTGAGGTCAATAGTAGACAGCCTAAGGTTAAAAATTTTAGGGTTTGGGGAAGAAACCACAGAGTCAGGTAGAGTATTCCAGACATTGACTACTCTGTTGCTGAAGTCGTATTTCCTGCAATCAAGTTTGGTGCGATTAACCTTGAGTATCTATTGTGTGCTCTTGTGTTGTTATGGTTGAAGCTGAAGTATTCATTGACAGGCAGGACATTGCAATGTATGATTTTATATACTATACTTAGATCGGACCGAAGGCGGTGTAGTTCTAGGTTTTATAGGTCTAGAATTACGAGTCTGGTGGCATAAGGTATTCTGCAACGAGTAGAGGAATGGAGAACTCTTCTTGTGAAATATTTCTGGACTTTCTCAACTGTACTAATATCAGATATGTAATGTGGGTTCCAGACTGATGAGCTGTACTCGAGTATTGGTCTAGCAAATGTTTTGTATGCTCTAGTCGGTAGTGTGATATTACCAGAGAAAAAGCTACGTAGGATTAGGTTAACAACTCTTAATGCCTTTTTGGCTATGTAGTTACAGTGGGCTCTAGCACTTAGATCATTAGAGATGAGTATTCCAAGGTCCTTTACAGAGCTTGGATCATCAACAAGATCTTGACTATTCAGCTTGTATTTTATTTTCTGATTTTTTTTTGCCAATATGTAAGACAGAGCATTTATTTCTTGAGATTTGAAGTTGCCATTTGTTTGACCATTCTGATACATAGTCAAGATCTTTTTGAAGGGTAGAGTATTGTCTGTGGTATTGAACAGCTTTATATCATCAGCGAAAAGAACGCAGTTGCTCTTAATATGATCACAGAGGTCATTTATGTAGAGTATGAAGAGAGTTGGTCCTAGAACACGGCCTTGGGGAACACCACTATTGACAGGTACAGCATTTGATAGGACACTCCCAATTTTGACCATTTGTTGTCTGTTTGACAGAAATGCTTCTATCCAGTTATGCAGTTGTCCAGAGATACCATAAGATTTTAGTTTTAGGAGTAGTTTGTCGTGTACCACTGAATCAAAGGCTTTACAGAAGTCTATGTAGATTGCGTCTATTGCTTTGCCCTGATCGAGTTGTGTAGTCCATATCTTTTTGCAGTGTAAGAGTTGCAGATTACAGGATAGTTTTTTCCTGAAACCAAATTGTTTATTGGAGAGTAGGTTGTTTGTCTCTAAGTGGAGGAGAATGGATTGGTTAATAATTGATTCCATGACTTTATAGGTGACGCAGCATAAGGAGATTGGTCTGTAATTTTCAACTAGGCTGGGGTCTCTCTTTTTGAAGATGGGGATGACCGTGTATTCACATTTTTTTTAATGTTTACGTTTTTTCCCCCACAGCATTGTTTTTTCTGTGGCAATAAAGAAAAATAGTTGACAGACATTTTCCCATTCTGAGGAGAACCTTTACAGTTACTGGGATAACCTTTTAAGCACTTAAAAACTTAGGAACTTCTTTAATCCCTTAGTTGTTTGAAACTTATCTAATTTTCACCCTTAGGAAAAAAATAGTATGGGCTAAAGAGAAATCACTGCATCTTTTGGGGAATCAGTAGCTAATACCACTGCAATAATAGAATACAAAAATGTTACTTTTAAAATATAAGTTGCAAATAAGGAAGAATAGCATGTGAAAAGTAAATGTCACAAAATATGCAAAATGGAAAAGTTTCATCTGTTTTACTTCACCCCTAAAAAGCTAACTTTGAATTGAATCCAGGCATGTTCAGAGATCAATCCCAATATAGGGAGGTTGTTTTTGTGCTATTCCCATTCATGAAATGATCATAAATCAGGTGCCAACTTTAAGGAGTCAACTTTTAGGAGTCAACTTTAATAGTTTTGCTTTGTATGTCACATAGATTGAAGAAGCATTTCTCCCAAACAGTTTAACAAATTCTTTTGCTTATGCTTGTAGCCGAAAATGCTGTGGCAGAAGTAAAAAGCAGACTAGAACAATCTTCCTTGTCTGAAGATAGTGAGGTATTGAACCAGGAATAACATTTATATTATATTTATCTGAAGTTTTCCTTTCAGAGATCAGTATCCTTTTTGGTATCCCCAATATAAGGCTCACTGAAATGAATTGGAGTGATAAATATGGAATTGGAGAAGTGAGATGAACACTTCTCAGCATTATATTGGCTTGTAGATAGCCATATCCCCAAAAATATTTTCTATGCCAAAAAATTTCAGCGCACTTGTATGTATTCAGGGTGGGCTGATACTGGTTCATCCCGGTTCAGGCGAACCCGTAACTAGTTTTATGGCCGGTTTGCCGAACTGGTAAATCCCACCAGAGGGCCTCTGGAGCCCAGGGAAGGCCATTTTCACCCTCCCGGAGGCTCAAGGAAAGCCTCCAGAGCCTGGGGAGGGCAAAAATGCCCTCTTCCCCACCATGATGTAGGAGGCCAACTAGGCCATGCCTACCATGGCCACGCCCTCCCAGCGACTGGGCAGAGAGCTGGTTGCTGATATTTTTGAAGCCCTCCCCTGTACATATTGCTTCTTTTAATGCACATTTATACTATTCTGTGGAACCTGCATTTTTTGCAACCAAGATTCTGATTTGTCTTTGGATACATATATGCTATATATAATGCATACAATGTTTATTTGAAAAACTGTATTGCAAACTTCATAGAACTGTGAATTTAAAGGTTTAATTGAGTTTCAGTCAAAGGTGTATATAATTAAATGATTCCATCTATTTTTATTTTATATTTACCTTTTATTTACCAATATGTTGCTAATTCCCAAATGGCTTTGGGTGGTGATGACATACATACATACATACATACATACATACATACATACATACATACATACATAAATAAATAAATAAATAAATAAATAAATAAATAAATAAATAAATAAATAAATAAAAAAAGATGCATAAACTCTAACCTTCTATAAACTCAAAAAGGCCTAGGTAAAGTAAAGCGATAAGGAGATTTTATATTTACTAGAGAAGACTATAACCTGAAATATAAAAAAGAATTTACTATCAACATTAGGTGCATGAGGTATATAAGAGGTGTTCTTTTGAAGACTTGCGGCATGGAGAGACTATATGGCTCTAGGTAATTAAATCATGTAAGGAAGTCAAAGTAAATACTTTGATTTGGCTTGGGAAATAATCAATTCAATGTAGTAGTACTCTACATGTGAGATGTGACATATCTGAGCAGTTTTATTCACCATGAGGTCTGCTATGTTTAGGTCAAGTGCAAGGTCTGCGCGCAAATACCATGTAGCAGTAATTCAACTTTGGGAGAATTATATGTGTATCACTGGAGCAGATTTCTCTTTAGAAGTAATACATAACTAGTTTCTCCAATATGCTTGTTACACAATCTCTGAGGCCATCAATTTTAATAGAAAGCTGGAGGAACAGTGGGGGGAGGGGACAGCATTATTTTTAAAATGATATGCATCTAATTAAAGGGCTTGATACTCTGGATCATTATTGTTGCAATTACCTTTCAAAATATGGCTGGAGTTAGATTAGTTTTTAATCTATGCCCTACAACAGAGGTGTCAAATTTGCAGTCCGCAGGCTGGATGCATCATGCACTGGTTTAATGAAGGGGGGAAATTTGCAATATGTCTCATGATGTCACGAGTTTGATGCCCAGTATCTAACACAATTTCTATTTGCATTAAAAACATTAGGTAAAACAAATTCTAAGAGAAAATGTGGCCAAACTTTAAAACACTAAAACATCAACATAAACTACATTTATTATTGCTTCCTGATTGGGTTAGTTAAGATAGTTAGATTATTTGCTGAAAAATAAAGACTATTAACATGGATAATTCCAGATTATTGAAAGTTTGCCTGGCATGAGCTTTAAACAGTAGGAATTTTTTTCACATCTTGTTAATTGCCCATTTACTACTGCCAAGTTTTCACTAAGCTATCTTAGCTTTCGGTTCATTTATTTTTAAACAATGTTTAGAAAGCAGTTTTCATTTTGGATTTTATCATGGTAATTGAAGCCTAATTATACCTCTCTAAATCATTATTTATATTCTTGGGGAATAATCCTGTTATTAATCCCTCCTGTGCTGAATTTTTATGCTTAAAGAGCTATGGCTTCTTCTAATAATTCAAAGCTTCCAGCTAAATATATGTAGTGTCCACCATATGCTGGTGCTATACATAGATAGCTTTACATACTCCAAGTCAAGAAAATGAAATACTTGTGTTAATTAACTAAAAGTCTGATGAACCTTTCTGATGGCCAGTTTACTAAAAATATGATTTTAATCTAGTGGAAGTTCCATTGCTCTTTGGTAGTTTTACATGAGGGAATCCCAAATACAATCCCTTTCAACTTCAATTAAAAGGAATTTATAAAAGAATTATTCAGCCTGATTATTAGTGCTAACAACATACATCCATACATGTGCAGCATGGGTTGATATTGTATTTATGTATTCGTAGCAATTATGTGTGCATAACCTGCTCAAGCAACTCTAAGCCTTAAAATAATAGTGATAATGCCTTAAAACATTGCATCCTAGCATTTTCAAAAGTCTTCTGTGGTCTCCCAAATACAGTCTTCCAAAGACCTGTGGAAAATAGAAAAAGATGAAAGGGTGGTTCTCAAAGGATAACCTGTTCCTTGTGAGGTGGCTGCTTCTGAGAATGTAAGAAGGTTTCAGGAGGCCGTTGTAGCCGAAAACAGAATTCACAATGGCCGTGGGCAGTCTTCCAAAGCTCCATTTTTGCTGGCAGAAGGTTGCGGGAAGCTGTCGCAGCCAAAAACAGAGCTCAGGAGCTCATTTTCATTGTCAGAGCATTTGGACCACTACAGGCGCCCTGACATAAGTGATGTTGAGTTGGCCATGCCCATCCCAGCCCCATGAGGTCAAACACAACCCTGATGTGTCCCTCAATGAAATTGAGTTTAACACCCCTGTCATAGACTATATATTGTGCCTGCTTCTTCCAAAATTGATTGAGGTTCTAATTTAATTTATAAGTTGCATTCTACAAATTTAAAGTAACATCTAAGAATGAAATGTAATATTACATTGTCCTTCTCCAATTTGTTCCTTAATTTACAAGCTAAAGTAAAATGAAATGCTATCTATGTGTCTTTAGTTTAACCTAAAGCAGATAACCTTTTTGAAGCCAAGAAACTAAAGGGGCAACAGTGGTTTTCTGATAGAATCTGATGGACTAAATATGTCTACTTTATGTTTTGGATTTTAGTTTTCATATATACCCCAACCATAAAAGGCAGAAACTGTTATCAATATACAACTGACGGCTTTAGCTTTCCTATCCATTCTTTCTCCTCAAAATGTTCTTCAAAATAAATGCATTCATTCATAAACAATAAAATAACTTCTTTTTCCTTTCTGATATTGTGGGGGAAAAGTATTTGCAAGTTGTGTTTCAAGAAGCTCTGGAGGAAGAAAAGAGAGTAAGAGAAAAAAATGAAGAGAAAAAAAGGCAAGTTAAGACATAATAATTTACTTTTTTGAAAAGGTATTGCAACTGAAGAAAACCAAAATAGTTTACCTTATATCACAAATAGTTATAAAAATTAGTTCTAGAGCCAAACTAGTTATCATAGCTTTGTCGTATTTTCATAATTCTGCAGATATCACGTACATCTAAGACCAGTCATTATTCAAATTAAGTGTTAAAAATAACCTCAATTTCTTTTAGTTTTTGCAATTCACACATGGATAATGCATCTTTGTAACACCTGTTTAGAATCTTTCAACTTACACAATTGTTTGATGGGAGCACAATCATTACATGTTCAACACCGTCTAGATTTGAGTCTTGCTGAACTTGATATTTTTTGGTCCATTCAGCATTTTTTTCAGATTATTTTTTAATTAAACCTTTATTATTTATATAACTAATTAACTCATCATTGAACCTACGTAATACTCCTTTTCCCTCCTTTTTTTTTCTACAATTCTTTGAGATTAGTGGAACAAAGTTACTTTCATGAGCAGCCGGCTTTCATGCCTAAAGTGGACTAGAATCCTCAGCTCCTTAAATGTCATTACCTCATGCTCAGTTTTCCTCAATTCCTACAGTGAACACATTGGTAGAGTATTCTTTCCAAATGGTACAGAATTAGTATTCCAGTTAATCTAAAAAGCTATGACTTCATACCTCTTAATTCCAGTACTTCCAGTCCTGCTAACCTTAGCAAGAGACTCCTGGGCCAAGCTAGATTCTCTGCCATTGATGTTTCACTATATATATAGTATGTATGTATGTATGTATGTATGTATGTATGTGGGTACAGGTGTATGGGTGTATATTAAAAAGAGGAGAAGGAGAGAATTTTCCCCCTCTTTATTTTGTTTCTTTTTAGAAACCTGAAAAGACCAAAAAGGTTATTCATAATATTTGGAATAAACATTCAAAACAGAAGTCAAGATGGAATGCTTATCTATAGCAATAATCGCTTGATCAGAATGTTCGAGAAATTGGGATCACAGAAAAACACAGGACCATAGTAAGTTTTCTTCTTTAACCTGTAAGAATCACTTTTCTGTATTGCTAAAAATATTTTATTTACTTTTATTTGATTTAATTGGATTGTTTATACACAAATTTTCTGATTATAAATAAAAATTATAAAGTGTTACTTTTTAAAAATACTAAGCAGAGAATTTCTGAAATTCGATATAAATAGGACTAAATTTAGGACTAAAGTCATGATCCATTATTTCATATTTAACACCTATTTTCATTCCGCAGCTTTGGTGCTGGAGCTGTGGGGATTATAGATGTACCATTAGATATTATGGAACCGACACACAACAAGCAGGCTTTTGCCAACATTAAGGAATACAGGCACTTGCTGAAATCAATGGAAAATTACCTTATTCAATACTGTAAAGACATGGGGATAAGTAAGTAGTCACAGTTCAAGATGATTTGCACAACCATAGCCTCATGTTAGTTCTGTTAAGACACTCTGCTTCAGTGAGACACTTGAGGGCTTGAATGAGACTCACAGTCATGCACACCAGCCCTGATGCCATCTTGACATTCCTTTTCCACATTTATCAAATAACACTTTTACTTGTAATTCACTTGAAGGCAAGTAGGAGCCTTCACAGGATGGTGAAAATGATAAGGCAGAAAAGAGAAACCATTTCTGATTTTGCTCCTTCAGTGTGGGAAAATGGAAAAGGCAGAAATGATATGTCCATATTCAAGTAATATGCATATATAATGTTTCCTTGAATGTGGATATATAGTATACCAGTAATGTAATATAAGAAATTACTATATGGAATATCTATTTTGTTAGTATTATTCAGAACTTACATTACTCAGTTATGAGAAATGGGCAGGGGTAGAAGAAATGTTGTTTCTTCCAAAAGATCACTTATTTTGGCTCCTTTATAGCCAGTAAGCTGTGGCTCTATTTCTATAAAGCTAAACTGTTAATATGACAACTGCTTATGATAAAAATAGGAACTGCTTTTGGTGATTGCTAGATAGTATTGAGATAGAAGGGTCATAAATAAAGGATCTGGTGTTTATCCCCCTATTGGATGACACTGATAGAGTCTTCACCTTGCCTTATTTAACATTCCCCACCTCATTTCCGGTCCTTACCCAATGCACTGGGCCCTATAATAGCAATAGCATTTAGACTTATATACTGCTTTATAGTGCTTTACAGCCCTTTCTAAGTGGTTTACAGAGTCAGCATATTGCCCCCAACAATCTGGATTCTCATTTTACTGATCTCAGAAGGATGGAAGGTTGAGTCAACCTTGAGCCTGGTGGGATTTGAACTGCCAAATTGCAGGCAGTCGATAGTCAGCAGAAGTGGCCTGCAGTACTACACACTATCCACCGCGCCACTGAGGCTCTTATAATGCTAAGCAAGCAACATTGTTTCTTTCCTGGTGAGACAGGTGAGACGTAACTCTGCCAGGATTTGAATCCCCAGTAGTATGGTGACTACTACTTTTGCCTTAGGCATAAAGCCAGCTAGCTGAGCTTGGGCTAGTCATTTTCTCTCATCCCTAGAAAAAGGCACTGGAAAACCACTTCCAAAAATGCTGCTAAGAAAACTGTGCAGACTTATCTTGTCCATCTCCAGGAAACGAAACTGACTTGAAGGCAAACTCCTCCCCTACCATTTTTTTGTTATGTCTTGTATTGTAAATTCAGCTGGATAGATTCAGGTTTTTACTGAACAAGGTCTCACTTTAGTGACAAGATTATTGTTGTGAATGCACAATTATAGAAGACCTCAACTTATTTCATCTTAAGCCTCTAGAGGAAAATTGGTATACCTATGAAATTTATAAATAAAATGCAGGTGGATTATGGTCGTTTTGTATGTTGTGTAAGAGAGTTTACAATTAGTAAGATCAAGTTGGAAATTGTAGAATAAATATGCTTGAAAATTAAGTTATATTGATTCCCTTTAACATTGTTAAACCAAACAATTCCAAGGTTGTTTTTTTTCAGTTTAAATATGACATTGTTCTCAAGAAACACAAAAATTATGAACTTGAACTCTATTTAAGTGCCCAGGTTGCCATTACACTACTGTCTTTTGGAGAAACTGCTTTTTGACCTGTTCTTGTCCTTGTTCCGGACTATAACCCAGCAATCTTCATAGTTTTCCAACCCAAATTGATCTGATGGAGGTTATGATTGTTCTTTCACTGCAATGTATAATGTAATATTGAAACTATTTATTTTCTAAGGTCAAAAAGGAGAAAAGTTCTGGAATGATTTTGGATATCTAAGTGATAAATGGTGTGAAAGACCTTCTGAGACAGTTCAATATAAAAGAAGACGAGCAGCAGAAATTCCTTACATTGTGCAGTGTGGTGAGTTTCTATAGCTAGGCAGTTTGAAAGGAATAAAGGAGTAAAAATAGAATTCAGTGAATGATTCTAAAAAGCCTCTTTTTTCCTTTTACTTCAAAGAAGAGAGTTTGAGCTCTCCTCTTCACGGGTGCTGCATACAACTGTGTTTTTCACTTTCTTCTTCACTGAAAAGATCCTCTTGTAAACACTTCCTTTTGTTTCATTTTTGCTGCCTTTAAAATCAAACTGTCAGGCAGCAGGTGTAAAATATTTCCTTCATGTTTTATTATAAAGTTAGCAGCATAGAACAAATGTCTTTGTTGGCCTCACAGTAGAATAAAAAGGATTATAGGCAAGTATACTGTTGGTTGAGAACTGTTCAGATTAAAAAAAAACCTTATTTATTTTTTTTCTTTTAATCTCTTCATGTGGTGGCCTTCCTGGGGATGTTGAGATGGAAGAGAGATACACAAACAAACTGAAGTCACAAAGATTTTTTTTAATTGTTTGATCTATTTTAACAGGATCTTGTTCAGCCTTCTATTTTTTCAAAGTGCAGTTTAAGATTTTGTAATATCCATTTTCCTACCTGAAGTCTATGTAATTCATGAGGTTTTTGTTTTGCTACCCAACTTCTGGTTTTTATTTAGGCAACCATATGCCTATATTTTAGCAATCTTGATCTCTAGATCCCATCTTACCTTGTGGGAAAAAACATCCCTAGACTATATGTGTGGGAAAGGTGGGGGGGCACAAGCGCAATTTTAATTGGCTGGGATTGTGAATTAGTCCAATAAATTGTGTTGTAGATGATTATCCTCCCTGTTTTGCATGTGGTGGGTACTATACAGATGTGGCCACTGTGTCATTAAACTAGAGTAAAGAAATCTGAAGTTGCCTAACATGATCTATGTATCACAGAGATTTATGTGACTGTGATTGAGAATTACATGTATCCCTTTTGAATATCTTAGGTATAACTCCCAGAGTATTACAACAAAAATTCTAGATTACAATATTTAAGGCTGTAGAAAGGCAAAACATTACACCTAGACTTTTCTTTAACAACTATCCCATTTAGCAACTATTCAAAGTTACAAAGCACTGACAAAGTAACCATCCAGAATTGGAAGCAAAGACCTGGCTTTTTAGGTCTGGACTAAGGCTGGGTTTGGTTTCGACCTGGATTTGGACCTCTTAGGGTTGTTTGGGCTCTGTTCTTATGTTCCAGGTAGAGCAGGCTATACGATGGGCCATGTGCCAATGTAATGTGCACACCACTCTGTGGACCTGCAGCCTTTGGGGAGACAGCCCTTCTATGTATTGTATGGCATTTTTTCACTATGGATTTTTGTTTGGTGGGATTTGTCAATGGCTTGTGTTGGAGAGATAGAGGAGTGATCTTTATTGGCTACTAGGCTTGGCTAGTAACCAATGGCAGTGGTGGATTCAGTTCTGGGTTGAAGGAACCCAATTGCACAACAATGATGGAATGTGACCCTGTCAGCTGCTGCCAGTGAGAAAGTGGTTGAGAACCTTGAATGAAGTGGATTATCTGAATTTCTTTCAGTTGACAATCATACCTAGATATGGGACAAAGCAACATTGGCATACTTAAGGATGATCTCTGAAGACAGTGGGATGTGGGTTTTAAATCCATTGTTGCCCTACTTGACCTCTCTTCAGTTTTTGATACCATCAACAATGGTATCCTTCTGGATTGACTCAAGGGGTTGGGAGTGAGCACATAATATTGTCCTAGTTTGCTGCTTTTCTCTGGAGTCAATTCCAGTCAGTGATAATTGGTATATAGAGTGTAATAGTGTTAGATATTCTCTCTGGTCCTATTTCACGTTTACATTAGGCCACTGGGTGACCTCTTCCATCATTATGGGATAAGGTATCATCAGTTTGCTGATGGTATCCAATTACATATTTGTTCCATTGGCAAAATATCGTAGACATCATCCCAGAGCCTGGAGGCCATGAGGGTCTGGATAAAGGACAATGGGATTCAAATAAATCCTGGCAAGACTGATTGTCTTTAGATTTGGGGACTTGTCAGTTCTAGGAATATGTCATTGTTGGTGATAGATGGGGGTTGTGCAGTTCCAAATGGACACTATACACAACCTGGATCCTCCTGTACTCTTGTCTCCTTTTCAAAGAGCAAGTGGCAGTTGTGATTAGAACAGCCTTTACACAATCTCACATTGTGTACCAGTTGCATCCATTCCTCGATTGGAAGGCTCAAAGTTAACTAGCCACCTCCCAATTAGACTATTCTAATGTTCTCTACATGGAGCTGTTTTGAACTTTGGAAAGTTCAGATGATGCCAAATACAAATTGCATAAGTAGTTATGTGTGTCTCAAGAATAACACATGTTATACAGTATCTCTCTTTAGGGTTACTAGTTTGTTTCTAAGCTTATTCCATAGATCTGGGAAAATATTGCACTACTAAGTGAGGAAGTACTTAATTATATTAAATGTATTTAGTTAATCTACCTTTAATCTACCTTTAATCTTCTTTTAATAAAATCTAAATTTAAATTGAATGCAGTTTTTGTTCTGGTTGCCCTAACTTCTTTTGATCTTTTCTCCACTGACTTTTATTAGAGGGTAACTCATTCAATGGCATGTAATTCAAAGACTAAGTGAAATCCAGAGATCTGGGAAAGTATGCTCTTTAAATATGTATTTCAGTTCTGAGTAGTATTGCATATTAGATAGTATTTAGTCAGCTTAGGTTTTGATTAATATTTGGATGGAAATCCCAGGCTGAAGCTAGATAAAAAAGGGGCAATGGCAAACTCCTTCCATATTGACTTCAGGGAAACTACACAGATGTGATTACCAGGTGTTGATTTCAACTTGAAGGAAACTATTTTATACACTCAAATGTTTCTAAGCTAATTTCAGATAATAATAGTACTATTCTGAAGGAAAAGTCCATATTTTAAGTAATATTTTCTGATTTGTGATATAGGTATTAAGTTCCTAATAAAACAAATTGTAGAGGTTTAACGTTCCATGTAAAATCAACTTAATAATTAATTTTGGATTAATTCTGTTAATTCATTAGATGTTTGCCTCAAATGGAGACTCTTGTCACTTAATAGTGATATAAATAATGAAGTTCATGACATCTGGAACTGTGGAAGAAGTCCCAACTCTCTAGAAAATAAGTAAGTAGTAATATTACAGTAAGTCTGCTCTCTTTCACTACCAACAGAGTTCCTTTTCTCTGCACTGTTCCGTTAAGTGTGCTTGACATCAGACTTCAGACTGGTAATTATTTTTATATTTGTTCCAGCTATATTTTATGTCTCTCAAGATTGTTGTAATTATAAATAGTTTATAATACACTGCTATTTAAGTCTATAATAGACATGTTCCTGAAGTCAACAGCAGTGCTTAATGAGCAAACCACTTAAAATATGTCCTCAAGTTATTTTGATAAAAGAATATTACTATTATAAACATCGACTATAGAAATTGTTTGAAGAGCAAGTGTTCAGAGAAGCTTCTATTCTTTGTAATTAGGATATTATTTACCTTTATTGAGTAAATATTCTTGATTGAATATTTAAATAGAAAAGGTAAGAGCAAAATAGAGCAATATTTGCTTAAACAATAATAACACTAGAGCATTTAGAAATCATGGAAGGACAACATTAAGATATTAAGTGCACCATATTGTACATAGCTCATGGAGCACTAGGTCAGAACAACAAAATATTAATACCAAATATTTTACATGCAATACTGTATAAAGTATATATTTGCCTTGTAATTTCATTTATTTGTTATGAAGTACTATATATACACACACACATTTAAAAAAACTAAACACGAATGCACATGTTCAGTGACTGAGGGTTTAGTCTTTTATTATGGGTAGCATGAAACCATGTGCAAATCCATTTTGACTATCAGTGTCCAAGTCATTTGCAAAACCAGGAGGTCCAAGACGAAACATAAAGAGGAGACTATAATTATTTCTATAAATAATGTATTTTTCTTGCAATTTGATAGGTGCAGTATACCAGAGAATTTGCCCAGAATCCCTTTGGGCACATTCAACCCAACTCATTATGTGAATGACAAAGAAAAGCTATTAATTGATTCCATTCAGAGAAATAAAAGGAAAGTGGAAAACCTGGTTAGTTATTATATAAATTATCATAGAGATGAATATGTTTTGTTCCAAGAATTTATCTGGCTAGAATTAAGTAATTCCATTTTTATTAAATCATATAGAATCCTACACATGCTTTGAATAATTAAAATGTTGGTATTTTTGGAGGTAGATGATTTTGAACACAAAATTGAAGTGGCATCCCAAATGCACCAAATTGCTAGAAAGGATTATTTGTCAGGATAATCTAAGAATTATCTGACCCAGGGATCCGTAACTCCTGGACTGCACTCTCCTACTAGGCCTTAGCAAGTTCGTAACCGGGCTGCAGAAGTGGCAGATGAGCGCATGTATGCACGTAGCTCCACTTGCATGAGCATGTGAGCATGCATGTGCAGTCCCATTTGTGCTTGCTCACCATTGTCACATACCCATTCCCTCTCCTCGCCACCTGGTCTAGAAAGTCGAAAAGGTTGGGGATTGCTGATCTAACCCACTTCACAGCCTGATGTTTTTGGCCCAAAAATAAATCAGAAAAACTAGACTACATATCCTCTTCCTATGATCCAGCATGACCAAATGTAAATACATATATGTATGTCTCTCATAGATTAAGAACTGCCTTGCTCAAATTTCCATAAAGTGAAAACTATATAGGTAGATGAAATGGATCAATTTGCATTAAAATGAAAGGAGGAGAAAGTTGGCAGAAAGTGTTGAACTGTATACTTGTAATGTGGATGCTTTTGTAAATGTCCATTGTTTTTGTAGCTTTTATTTCAATGGGAAAGAAGTTGTGTGGACTGTTGTATAACTAAATATAATAAATTTGGTAGAAATAAGTTCAGTAGAAGGATTTGCTCATATAAATTCTGGTTTTATTAAAAAATACCTATAACTTTTTTTCAATACATTTCAAAATGTCTCAGAAAGCCAATTATAGAATGGAAGATCTGTGGCAAATAGAAAGTTGAAATTTTGAATAAAGGGAAGGAAGCAAAAATTTCCTTGAACTGCAGTCCCCAATATTTGCCCCAAAGGGGCACATAGGAGATATTATGCTACAGTCAGGATATTGGTCCAAAAGTCTTAGTGATTCCTACTCCAGCTGATAAATGACTTTCTAAATATATAGTAGGGTTAGAAAACCTATATTCCAAACTTCCAGACACTTTCTATAAACCTTGAAAGATACTTGAAAGTGGCAGTCAGAAAATCACTAATATTCTGACTGTAATATTATTAAAATTCTAGTTCTATCTACATTGAGATTAGGAATGGAAAGTTTTTGTATATTATCTAGGGATGTCATTGTTTGATTGACTGATTTGTATTCTGCGTTTGTACATAGTAAGTGTTTAAGGTAGCAAATAATAGGACTTTTCCCCCCGAGTTTCCCCATTCATAATAAAGTTGTTATTTGAAAGAATAAAAAGTAAAAATAGATATCTTTTGTGTCATTTTTACAGCAATTTCGTTTGATTCAACCACATAAATTTTCTAAGCATACAGATGGCAGCAAAACTCCTGCTAAGGATGTGAGTAATTTGGACTGCAATTCTATATATAACTTTCTTGGGATATGGCATATGTCATTAATATCAATGAAAATGAGAGATGAGCTTCAGAACTGAATCTAATGCATAGTTTAATCTTGTATGGAAATACATCTGTATGCTTTTTTTAAAAAAATTATCAGAACAGCTGTAGCTGAGAATGAAAATCTAAACATTATTTAGATTAATCTCAGAAGGAAAAAAATTCAAACAAAAATAAAAGTATGTACAAAATATTAGTCCATTTGATAAATCTATTTCAGTATTTCTTAGTCAAATATATGGTTGATAAAAGTAGAAATAATTACAAAACATGCTATGGAAAAAAATCAACTGGGATTCAAAAATATTGTCAACTATCAGCAACTAAGCTCAGAGAACACTAAGAATTCCACAGTTCAATCCTGAACAACAAATATTCTATAGTCAACAAAACTGATATCTTCACTTATGTATGCAAATATACTGTATATATGAAAGCGCAAGACCTCTTCTACATATTTAAGGTATGTTATAATGACGTCCTGTACTTTGTCTTAATGGGAAAATGTATTTCCTTAATTAACTAAAACTGCATCAGCCACAAGTACATAAGGGGAATCATGTTAGAAAACTTATTTTTTTCAGGACTACAAAGTTAAATTGGGATTTAGAAACCAAGAGTAGACCCCATTTGCAGTTCTAATTTGTAAATCAAGCAAAAAAAATAAAAATAGAACACCCATATTCTAATTTCTACTTAGACAAGCAATTAATAGAAAAGAAATGATTACATTCATCTTATGCAAATATAACCAGTAGAAACATAGAATCTCAGACTATTCAGTACATTAAATCAGAGTTCCCCAGCCTTTCCTGCTTTACGGACCATTAGGGGGAGAGAGGGACATTGCATGTGCTTGCCCGCTACTCAAGCAAGTGGGGGATGTATGCATGTGTGCGCTCACCTGCCAATTCCTCTGCCCGGTTCCGTATGGCTCAAGGCCCAGTGGTAGATTGCTGGAACCCCTGCTTTAAGTAACCCAGCAAGATATGGTGTTTAGGATGATTTCTAGAACTACCATACAATTTTAGGATCATATTTTTTTCCCCAAGAAGCAAGCTAAGAAACTGACAGAATTGAGAGTTTGGAGGAGAATAACCATATCCAGGCTTAAAAGTGATATTGGATTGTTGTTTTCTTGTTTTCAAAAAAAAATGTCTGGAAGAATGTCTGCCAGAAGACTTTTTATAAAGATTCATCTCAAGCTTACAAACACCTGTCTACGGAAAATACAAGTAAAGGACATATGCAACAGTCAAATTATCAAAAGCAAGCATTGGCAAGGCAAGCAACTTGTTCACAAAGGAGGCATCAGTTTTATCAGGATGAAAAAAAATTCTCCGTGGCAGATAGAAAGAATCACAGTACTCCAAAGGTATAATATATTTCAGAATGCTGAAAAGAAAAGCCTGACAATAGTTAACGTGCTTAATCATTTCTGTTGTAATACAATGTGAGTTTTGTTTTCATTATGGGATTCTGTCAAATAGATTGCTTGTGTAATATCAAATGATTTGAGAAAGTAACCTTTTTTTTAACTGCATAGGTAGTCCTTGATTTATACCCAGTCATTCAAAGTTACAACTAACCCAAAAAAGGAACTGATGACACCCAGATTCTTTGGGAACATGGCAACATGGCCACATTTATGACAGTTGCATCATCCCACAATCACATGACCACATTTTATGGTGGTTTTGCTTACAAAAAACATGCTCATGGGGAACCAATGGTTTGTTTAATGACCATAGTATTCTTTTATGGACTGCAGCATTTGCCTTACAACCTTGGCATTGCTTAACAACTGTCACAAAAAAGACTACAGACATAAAACATATGACCAACGTATTTTATGACCATAATGGGCAAGCTGCAATATGGTCCTGTGTTATTTTTATTTCTATTCTTTTCTGCATGTTCTATTTTTTTCATTTTGTTCCTTTATTTGTTCAATTTGTACTAACTTTTATCTTTTTTTCATTGTAATTTTTAAATAAAATTACTATTTCAAAGGTTTCAGATGGGAAACAGACTTATCCACAGAGAAGGGCAAGGCATAAGACATTTAATAGGGAGAGAGAATGTTAGAATGAAGTCACATCTTGAGATGCTTGCACAGATGTATAGATACATTTTTTCTTTATACACTTACTTGCAAGTTAGCTACAAATCACATACATAATAATGCATCTAATGCTTTTTTCAGTGCAATTAATTCACATTCTATATCCAGTCTAATAGGTGTTCGTATGGAACATAAACCTATCTGATCTTATTTCAATAAACAGTATTTTCAAATAACCTTTTAAAACTTCAGACTGGTAAAGTCTTCAGACTGGTGTCTTATGGGAAGTGAGAGATGGAGAGGTATAGGCATTTCAGATGTTGCACATCTTGCCTTCCTCTCAGGATTCAAAGACTGTGAGTTGAGTTGATCCTATTCTTGTTTTTCCTTTCCACGTTCCTCCTTCCTTTCTCTCTCCATATCTCCTTCCTTCTCCCTTGCTTTCCATCTCACTCTCAGACTACCTTTGCTGGGTCTCATAGTTAATTATAATTATAATATAATTTAAATAATAATTATAATTATTAAAAGAATGCCTGTTCATACTGTGCATTGAACAGTTGCAAACATGCATCTACTTAGCTTTGGTAATAGGTAGCCTGCTGATCCTAATCTTGTGCCATCGTGATTCTGTCCCACCTATGTGGGAATTATTAGGTTGGGCAGGTTGCATTAGACAACATCATATGTCCAAATAGTTTTTGTGCTACCACATTGTACTGTTTACAGTTTTAAAAATGGGTAAACAGCTGTAATGACATAAGAGGCCTAGGATGAGGAATGGTGTTGGTAAATTCAAAGCTCATCATAATCCAATAAATACTTTTATTGGATTATCTTATTATTTGCATAATAAATCACAAAATTACTAATTTTAAATCAAGCAAGACAGGTAGTTAAACAGAGGAAGAATGTGGAAGAAATTGACTACAATTTAGGGAATTTATGCCCTAAAAGATTAGCATATGAAGATTTCATAAATGTTGAAGTTGCTTATTTAGTGTTTATAATTGATTTAAATTGGTGAATAATTTGAACAAGGCAGTATTGGCAGTTATCCAATACTTAGCCTTTCAGTTTTCATTAATTATTATTAAATAATTCTCGTACAGATACTACCTTCAGTACGTTTTGAAAGTTGGTGTTATGAAGAGCCTGAATTGAAAATTGAAACAGAGAACAAGCCAGAAATCATTTATGTAAGAGCCTGTTTGTTTTGCTTTGCTTTTCCTCAGTCTGACCCCATACAATTACACTGGGTGGTGAGTAATTTTGCCTAGACCAGTCTCAGACAGAATGACTATCATCCATATAAAGTAGCACTGGGATATATGTCTGTGTGCTAGCTGTGCTGGAAAAAAAACAGAAGTGTTCTGACAGACCACTGGCTTGAATAACATGAGACCAGAATGCAGTGGAATAGTTGCAAAAAACTAAATAGCAAAGAGAACAGAAAAGCTAAGACTGGAATATACCACTTTGTGTTGTTGTGAATAATTTGAGCAGTTAAAAGGTCATTTTTTGGATTTGAGATGATTAATCAGGTGTTATATTATTGTGTATTTTTCCTTTAGCCTGTGTTCTATATTTTGTCCTCCTCTTTTGTTTTTAAATAGTTGTTGATTACCTTATTCTATACTGGTATTTAGCCACATTAAACTTTGACACACTGACAAATAAATGAAGACTCAAATTAAGCCTGATTTTGGTAACTATGGACTCACCCATATAGTTTTGAGAGAGTGAACCCTTGAATTTCCTCTTTCCTCACTAGAGAACTGACAAGGTCCAACAAGGTCCCACCCCACTTCTAGGGAAGGAGACAAGAGATCATCCGTAACTGGCTAGATACTTCCAATTGTTATAACATTCTTCTTGTGATTGTTACTACTAAAATATTTATTTAACATACTGGGAAGTAAACATCTCATTCACTAGTCTTTCTTTATTATATCCTTGCAACAAAAGAAGTTTTCATTACAGATAATATAGCATAATGTTACTCAGTTGGGTACATCCAACTTACTAAAATTCTGTTTTGAAATCTTTATTTTTATTACTTATGACTCATCTTGAATGTTTATCAGAAATACTGTATATTCTGTCTCTAATGAAGAAAAAGACAGTCCCTAAACAATTACACTGGTGTAATTAGCACATGCTTAAAAGAATTAACCATTGTCAGTTAATTATATTACTGCACTTACGCTAACTAGTCTAACTGGGGGAAAAAAGAATATTAGCATTTGAAGCTACAATTTTACAGTCACTTTGGAGACTGATGTTAAGTAGCATTATGGAAAAGAAAACTAATGGCTTCCAGAAAATAATGCAAAACAAACATTTTAGAATAACTTAAGAATCATTTGCATCATAAAATGCATAATAGCCAGAGATTAAAATAAATGTTGTTTGCATTCTCAGAGTCCATTTGAAATGTAAATGTGATAGTAAATCTTTGTTGTTTTCCTGGGTGTACTACATATAGTACACCCAGGGAACCTTGAAGAAAGAGTTACAATTCTTTATTGCCTAGTATCAAATTAGGAGGAAAATTCATTTTTTTAAAATACTTCTTAATAACTGATGGCCTACAAGCAAAAAAGTTCCTTGTGTGGGGGAAGGGGGAGCACATAGGATAGCAAATATCTCACCTCTTACTTGCTTTTATAAATGGAGCAAATGGTTATTTCTAACCTATAGTTTCCAAGAGAATAAATAAGGAAATATATAGTTATTCCTCCAATGCAAAAATTAAAGTGTGTAAATAATAAAAAGAAAAATCAAGGTGTGTGAATAATACATTTTAAGTTAAAGTTAATTATTTAGGAGTTGCATGCTACTTCTTTCTTTCAAGCAAAGTGTTTTACTGCAGATTACATCATCTGATAGTGAAACTGAAGATCTGCCAAAGGATGAATTGTTTGCAGGGTGTGTTTTAATGAAAAAAGGTAATGTTGATGTTGAATTCTGAATTTCTTGCATGTGGATTAAAGCTAACAATCTTTACCTCCAGATGTTGTTTTACATTTCAAATACACTAAAGGGGGGAGAGAGATTATTGGATGAAACATTGCATAACTTGGGAATTTTCACTTTTTTGTTCAATTGCTAATATATCCTCTCTGAGTAAAAGGTAAAAAGAATTGATGTACTAGGATACTGTATAATCAAATCATCAAAATGGCCATTAGAATGTGTTTACTAAATGAACTGCAAAGAACTCTTTATGCCTGTATTGTGGGTGGCAACCACAGTTATAATATATATGATATTATAGGCATATTCTTATATGATGTGCATTTGTTTAAAATAGTACTGCTATATGGTATTAAAGGAGGAAGGAAAAGTTTTTCTTGCTATCCAATAATGCTGAGTGATCAGGAATGAAAGACATCTCTAATCTCTGCCCTGCAGCAGTTAGACAAGGGCAGTTAGATACTATTCTCATAGTGTAATATTTAATGGAATTTTTTTTTTGCACATTCTGTAATTGTATTATGGAACCTCTTTCAAAATGTGAACTTCCACATGAGTCTTTTCATGTTCTAAATAATTGGAAATCATAATGAGCTCATATTAGTCAAGCCATGACCAAGTTCAAATTCTTGGACCATTTATCAGCTAATATAACCAATTAACACATTAACTATATTTTCCACTCATTTTTTTCAAACCCCCAGCTTCCAGGAAGTTCTCCAGTTTTCTTATCCTACCCATCTGGTTAAATCCATTGATTAATAACTTTTGTTTATTATTGTCTTAAATGTTTAAACCACATGAAGAAAAACAGGAACAGTGTGAAGAAACACCTGACAGTTTCCTTGGTTTAAACAAGCATGGAAAATCTAAAAAAAGGTTTAAGCTATCAGCAAACTCAAAAAGGTAAGTGTACTGGAACATTTGGTAGACAAATTCTGGATTTCTGCTATTAGCAGTGTTTAATGTTAGCCTAGGATTCAGGAGAATCAATCAAGTCCAATTTGGCCACAGAACTGCGCTACATGGCTTTGATTGGGTTACTCAGCCCAATCTAGTGAATAGAGGGAATTGGTTTTTTTTGGGGGGGAAGGGAGAATGTAGTGCAATGTATGTAATTTCAAAATGCTAGAGGAAAGGCAGGATATGAAAGTAATGAATAAGTGAAATACATACTTTATATAACATTGCAATATTTTTAATGACAACAAAGTGAAGGTATTGTTTTAGTTGCATATAATAAGCATGGCTAAAATAATTAATTTGCTTAACATTGGTAAATACATACAGTATCATATATATGTATATTAGAAAAGCATCGATCAAATTAATATTCTGCTAGAACAGAGGTAAACATACTTTGAAATATAAGGATTCAAGCAGATTTTTCCATTGTTATTTCTGTTTGTACAAAGCAAATGCTATTGCAAAGAAAAGTCATAATTATCAATTAGAATTGTGATTAATTTTAAAAATTAGATATAAACATATAATAAACTAGTATTCATATTAAATTATCTTAAAAACTGTTAAAGTTTTGTCTTGATGCATGTTAATTCTCAGTACAGTTAAAGCCAGATTTCAGTTGTATTTGTTGAAAGCATCACTAACCATGCGTGTTCATAAGCAATTTCTTTGGAAGTCATGCATGAATGTTATGGCTGCTCCCACGTCCTAAGAATAAATTTGCTATATACATATGATCATCTCTTCCTCCTAAAAAAACAAAAAGGGATAATAGAATAGAAAGGATAAGCACTCCCACTTTTCCAGGAGACCTATGGCAACAAGTTACTCATTGTTATTCAATTATTTCCAAATCTTTGTTACCCAGTGGATATCATTTTGCTAGAGTGATTCATCGTAATAATTTCTTTGAATTCTTAGGAGTTCTCTCATTAGTATATTTATCCACCTTCTTTTTTTATTGCATTTGTTTTGGCCAAGCATCTTTGTCTTCTCCAGTAAGTCTTATTATAGAAAACTTAAGAAGATATATATAACTCCAAAAAGATAAATGTGAATTGAGAGAATCTTTTCTGAAGATGTATCAGAAACATCTAAGCTATATTAATGCTTCATTAATTAATGCTTCATTAATTAATGCTTCACTATTAATACTTCATTATTAATACTTCTGGTGAAGTCTAGTTTTACTTTCTCCCAAGCAGTAAATATCTCTCTTCATGGCTACAGTCAAAATATCTATGAATTTTTGAGTCTAGGAAGATAAAATTAGTTACTTTGGGCTAGTCACTCTTTCTCAGCCCAAATCACAGGGTTATAGATGTGGGGGGAAGTAGAAGGAAGAAAGGGTACTAGGTATATTTGCCATCACAAGTTATTTATAAAAGGAATAAATGTGCGATTAAAATATATAATAAAATAATAAAAACTTCTCTACTTACTTGCTCTGGGTTGACATTAAATGTGATCTTGGATTTTGGTTTGTTTGTTTTTTACTATTATTATTGAGAACCAGTTTTGCATGTGGGAGCATATGTTCTTGTACTTTCAATAAAAGATTCCTTAAGTCTTCCTCACTTCCAGCCAAAAAAGTAATTTCATCACCATAAATGAAGTCATTTTTTTCTCCCAATAATTTTAATTCCAATTTTGATTTGATTTAGCCTCTCTTATGATATATTTTTGGGGTTTTTTATTTAAAAAGTCATAGAGTATAGCTTTTATATGCTTGGACGCCATACTCCCACCAAAATGGGTCAGATCAAGAAAAGAAAGAATGGATGAAACAGAACAAAAACCTACTTTTTGTTTTATTTTAAGTTGAATTTTAATTATAGCATGTTATTGGATATAGTTAATATATAGGCATTTTTAAAATTATCTTCCACTACCTTACAATTTTTCAGCCGGTTTTGAAAAGCTCTGAAGGTTTTAGGTTGAGACCCCCTGATCTTCATTATTGCTTGCCTGAAAGTAATGAAAAATTCAATCCTGGATATAAGAGGTCCAATAAAATATAGATTTTTCTTTGTTTTTTTTAGTAATAGTAGTACCTAAAAGATTGAAAACTTCTATTATGCCCACTTGATTTTATAGAGAGCTAATTTTTTTTGTGATTTACCTGGCATCCAATAGACAAGAAATATTGATCATTAAAATGTAAACAGATTGAGAAAATGATCTGGATTTGTAAATTGCAGTTGTAAAGCTCACTGAGAAATCTTGAACAGGCGACACAATGCCAATCCAAGTGACCTAACAATCTTCACAGAGTTCTCAGAAATTTAAATAATATTGCAGGGCTTGTTCTAAGGCCTAGTATCCTACTGAGATAAATATAGCAACTTAAGCCCAATCAGATTATTTGTTAATTTGGTTTAGTGTTCATTGAATAAGAAGAGCTGTCTAGAATATTAAATCGAGATGGTTTAAAAGTGCACATCTGATCCTTTTAATTAGAATTTAATATTGGGTTTTCAATATGCTGGTTATCTGCTTACATTGGATGTAATGTAATAATGTAATATTTGTAATGAATGCCTAAGGTGTTTCTATTTAGTAGATCCACAGAAGCTATAAAAGAAGACAAAGATCAAGTCTTTATTGTGGAAGAGAAGTCAGTTGAAGTTTCACATCTAACTAAAAATTCCCAGAGCATCACTAAAGCCAAAATGATTCAAACATTAACATCTCGTATCAAGTGAGTGGTCATAAAAACGCAAGTTTATAAAATGAATGTTTTATGTGTATTTACTTTACTCAGTGTGTGTCCTTGTAAATCGTGCAGGCTGAATTTCACACCACTTGAAATGGCCATTTAAAGTATAGTTGCATTCTGTGGAATCAGTATTGAAGAATACCCTATATAAAATTCTCCAAGGACTATTTCAGTAAGAGCCACAATTAAAATGGGAGTGGGAGGAGGTATTGTACCTTTGTATTTTACTGAGTAAGTAATCAAAAGAATTACATTTTCAGACAGACATAATTTGAACACATTTTTAAACAATTACAAGTGTACTTTTTTGTTAAACTCTGTTGCATTAGCCACTCTATTTTGGACCTATCATACAAATGGAGAATCACTGTGTTATGATACAGCCAGTCACAATGAAGTATTAAGAGCTTATTCATTTTCCTCCTAGGAGAAAAATACTCCTGAGCTTCTAATTGCTCCCAGAGGTGCTAATTACCACACAGAACTCCTTTGGGATAGGAATCGAAACTCAGAAATTCCTTTTTTCTTTTTACTCTTTCAGTAAGAATACAATTTGGTTAAATGGATTTTTAAAAGCAATTCATTGTTGCTTTAATGTGTTAGTTCACGGAAGTGTAGTTTTAAGGATTGGAATGTTGTAAAAATGGCAATAATTTCAGTTAAATACAGGAATGTCTAAACTCTGGTAAAATATATAGTGGCTGTATATCATCCAGGTTTCAATAAAGGACCCCGTGGCTCTTTAAGGCTAACAGATTTGCATGGTATTGTTGGAAGAATTATCCCTCTGGGTTCACTTCCAAGTGGGAAAAAGACACTGGAAACATGGAGGCTGTTTGGAAAGATGGTTTAATGGTGGACAGGACCACATGACTTGGAGCTCCAAAGACAGAAGGTCAAGAAGAAGGAAGGGCTGAGATGCTGAGAGTGCCTGGTTTTATACCCTCTGTTGAGATTTGAATTTGAGCTTGTATTCTGATTGGTTGTCAGTCCCCATTTACAGTATACATACAGTATCATCATTTGTGAATGTTTTTATTTTATCAGTTGCATAAAATAGACTCTCGTAAGTTAGAATAAATGGTATTAATTCTGGATTCTGAGTTCCTCAGAATACCATTCTTACCACTAGAAAGAAGAAAGTATGTAGTTACCGTGTTTCTCCAACAATATGGCCTCCCCAATAGGAAGTCCCAACATGCTTTATAGGCATAAAATCAAATTAAGCCCCTCCCCCAAATTAAGGCTTATATTAAACATGCGAAATGGGAGGGAATGGTGGGGGGGCCTGGCCGTTAGGAAGTACTTTTGTTGCATACCTGGATATGGTGCTGTCTGCATTGACCTCGGCGTTGGTGGGGCACTTCGTATCGGGAGGCCTTCCGCTGTTGCTTTCCCTTCTCCCCGTGCTGCCGCGGTGTTTAAAGCAATGCCGCAGCATTTGGCGCAGCCATGCGCGGCCAGCCAGGGCTCTGCCCTGCAACCGGAGCCCGGTGGAGACACTTGGCTTCAGGCGCTCCTGTCGCTGCCTTCCCTTTGCCTTCGAAGGCAAAGTCAATTCTTTTAAAAACGACGCCCTACTACCGGTAAGACAAGACTCCCCTGCCCAAGAGGGCAGCCCAACCCCACATGGGGAGGCTCTTCACGCTCTGCCCGGCGCCAGGCAGGGATGGCAGCTGGGCGCTTCTCCAGGGGTGGGCTGATCCTGTGCTGCGGCCCCGGGAGATTCGCCTCCCCATGTGGGGTTGGGCTGCCCTCGGGCGGAAGGTTTCCCAATACGAAGTTCCCCACCAACGCTGAGGTCAACATCTAAGCCGTTGCCGCCCGCCTGCCCGAGGATGCGGGGGGGGGAATTAAGTCACCCCCGAAAAGATGGCCTAGCCGTTTTATTTTGTGAGAAACACGGTATATATTTTCCCTTTAAAAAAGTGCATGAAAAGGTTTTCTCCTTCATGGAGTTTCTAGAACCATGTACTGACTGGTATGTATGGCTGTTTATTTTATTGCAATGCTTTATTTTTTTTTCCAGAGAAATACTGCTCTATTTTTTACCTGAATGTGATAAATCAAGAGACCATATTACATCCATGTGCCCGGAAGATGTTTTATCTATGTTCAACGTGAGTGAACATTTAAATTACATTAAAATAAATGTGTCAACACATATGTACCAATATCATATAGTTACTGGCAGCCTCACTCAATGTCATTTATTCAGCAACCATTCAAAGTTATGATGGTGCTGAATGAAGGGACTTACAACCTTGAAGTTCTATTGCAGCATCACTGTAGACATATGAACAAAATTCAGGCATTGATAAACAATTTTTGCCATCCGCCTATTTGCTGCCACTGGCTGCTCTTCCCACTACTGTATCAACCGGGGCCTTCATTCACACTGCCTTTTGCAGTTGCACAGTCGGTGATGAGCTGGCCAGGATCTCTATATGTTGGCTAGGGCCTCCATGTGTGAAAGGAGGACCTGGCTGATATAAAATAGAAGACCTGACTATTGGCACAAAAGAAAACCCCCATCTAGAAGCACATATTGCATGAAAGCAGAAGGACCTGGTCAGTATGCAAAAGTAGACCAAAAGGACAGAGATGTGGAAATAGATGGTTATAGTTGAAGTAGAGACAGTCCCTTACATTTTTACAAGAATGGTTTGGATCTGGGTTTGTTCTTACCTGATGACAACATGGGATTCACTCAATGGCAGCAACTGACATTCCCAGAACTTTGGCTTAATGATCCACACATCATAGGGTTGCAGTGAAAATTGGGACTGCCAGTATTGTCTTCACTAAGTCATGTGGTCATATGATGCCACGCTTTATAACAACATTGCTTACTGATAACAATGCTGGTCCCAATTGCCATTGTAACACAAGGACAATCTGTATTAAGATATCCCAACAAGTTTGGAACCAATTACTCATTGGGTAAGGCATGTGCTATCTTTTCATCCAAGTCCTTAATAGAAATATTGAAGAACATGTCACCAAGTATTGGACTCTATTTAATATTCTGTCTAGTTTGATGAGATGCCAGTGAAGAACTCTAGCCATGACCCATAATTTTTATATATTCAATGAGCTTTTTATATAGACTTTTTCTAGCCTTCATTTTTTCTCATTGGAATTATGCTTTTAATTTCTCCTTTTTTAAGCATTTCCACCTATCGACTTTATTTTCGTACTTGCTTTTGCTAGCATTAAATGGCCATTTCCACTGGTGTTCCTGCTACTCCACTTCTTCAGTTAAGTCTTCCATTCTAATGAGCATCGTGTGAAAGATACTTGATATTTTGTGCCTTCCTCAACCTTCCAAAAGAGAAAGTTGTCAGCAAGACCAGTGAGGGAAACACCAGTATACTTCAGTTTTGAATGTAATTAGTTATAGTTCAGTGCTGTAATGGATAAGACTGTTTTGGACAGTGCAGACTGAATGTTCGGGGACCTGATACAGACTGGATTGTAGCTATAACTTCCCTTTTTTTTTCTTTGAAAATTTATAATTTGCTATTGGAAGACACATCATATGTACCTTTACTTTCATTAGGCAGCTAAAAGTAGACATCAGCAACAGTTTTATTTGTCCTCATTTTTATCCAAATGTTGTTTACAGCACTGCCTCATTCATTCATTCTGAATTAACAATAAATACTTTTAGCATATATAGTTCAAAACCTCCTCTCCTATTGCTTCTACCTCTTTCAAGCAAATGTCCTTCAGATGCTGTATTTCACTGATATGGCACCAAGTTTCTATTATACCTAGAAAATCATATTCACTTTCTTGTCTTAAGAGTTCAAACTAATCTTGTTCTGTATTCTGAGAGTTAATGCATAGCCAACAAATGCCCTAATCATTATGACGCAATTTTCTTTCTTATTTTTAATTGAATGTTTAAATAGTCACTATTTCCAATTCCACTTTTTTTCTCTAGCACTTAAGCCTTTATCTAAAATTCTTACTTCAGGGTTTTCATCTCCAGTTACCAGGAAACTCAAACATTTATCTCAGAAACAGACTCTCAAAGTCTGTTATGGCCTACCATTTCTGTAACTAGTCATTCACTTAAAGTCCTGCTAACCCTAATCAAATTGACTATACTTCAGACATGCTTGTTTCAGTTTCAAATTCACTATCACAATTCCTTTACTGAGATATTCGCTGTCCTGTTTTGCTTCTATTTCTCCTTCTGAGAGCCTAAGAGAATCTGAAAATTGTTTCTGAATACTAAGTACTGCAGAATATCATCTGTATCTCTTGCTTCCAATTGTTACTGTTATCCTCTGGGCTTCCTTATTTATTCAGCTTTTTTTCACTATGAGTTTATGCTGTAATATCTCCTTTGAACTAATCATTCTCTCATTAGGTTGGTTACACTCAAAGCATAGTCCCTCTACTCCATCCTGTCACATATTCTTCAAGGACTGCTACAAAGTTTGTAGATTCTGCAAATGTATGCCAGGTTCTTAGGCAGAAAAACAAACCTGCTACAGGTATTGCATGTCACAACTGCAGATTTCTTCGTCTTCATTTTTGTTTCTAAAGGCACCAACATAAGGAAGGCTTATAGTTCTTCCCTTCTTAGGCCCTCCAAAATGGACTCTTACCTTAGAAGGGAAATATGGATTCTTCCTTAGTCTGCCTTGAAAATTTCCATTGGCATCTGGTAGCTTAGTGAGCATAAATAGTTGCATACAGAATTTATTTTCCATAATGTATTTGTTTCTTCAAATTGAGCGATTAACCATGCTAAACTGTTTTGTTTGTAAAAATGTGTATGTCACAAATTCACTATACTCAGTATGGGTTACAATATAAAACTATTAAAAAGTATAAAGATCTAATACAAGTAAGTAAAACAAGATAATTGATTTTATTGAAATTTTCAAATTTTTCTAAGTCTCCTTGTGTATTTATTACAATTTATTACATTTAAATCAGTAAATAAATGTAAATCTTAGTTGCATGGCCATTGAAAATCCATGTTGCTTGCTTTTTGCAGAAATACTGCTTTCTCTTTTTGATACAATAAGCAAATGTTGATTTTATATTTAAAAAAATGGACAAGGCTTCTTAACTAAATTCAGATTATCATACTAACTTTTATTTTGTATTACTTTAATAGCCAATCCAATATCATTCTCCAGCTGTCTTTCTGCTTATCTTAAGCACCCCACCATACCTAGGATCTTCTTGACAATGCAAATTGCAGGGTTGGAGATATGATCTCAGATTGGGACCAAGATGTATATAACTTTAGTATTTGAAGCCCACTTTTGTTTCATTTATTATTTTTATTATTTCCATTCCGTGTTTGCTTAAGGAGCCTTTAAGGCATTTTTAGATCTTTCCTTTGTTTGTATTTGTTTTGGTGACTTCGAGTAAGTTTTGATTCCTGGTGATTAAAATATTTTTAGAAGTGATTTACCATTATCTCTAAGTATGCCAAACAATCAGCTGGCTTTTGTGGATATTGCAAGATAAGAACTTGGGTCTCCCAGCTCCTAGTCTTATACCTTACTCACTAGACCAACCATTCTATATTAGGTTCTAATATGAATTTGATTCTTTCTGAAATATTTCTACTTTTGAAAGACAAAAATATATGATTAAAGTCACTGTAGTTTGATTTTTTTGTCTGATTAAGCTATGTGATAACATTTCTTATATACATTTTTCTTTTTGTTCGTTTTTTATAAAAATAGTTAAAAAGACATTGGGATCAGAATAAGACTGTCATTTTATCCATTGATCAGGTAAAACATAAAATATGACAAATATTTTCTGAACTGATTTTCATCATTGGTAATAGATATATTCTTGAAAAAAATAACAGTGAAATACAATTCATGAGATTGCGTTGCTTCATAGTATGCTTAATTAATACAAAAAGAATAGCCCTCATTATACAGGTGAAACTTGAAAAATTAGAATAGCATGCAAAAGTTCATTTATTTCAGTAATGCAACTTAAAAGGTGAAACTAATATATGAGATAGACTCATTACATGTAAAGCAAGATAGTTCAAGCCGTGATTTGTCATAATTGTGATGGTTATGGCTTACAGCTCATGAAAACCCCAAATCCACAATCTCAGAAAATTAGAATGTTTAATAATTTTTCCTCTTCACTTTATGAAAAACTAATTTAATAAGAACCATACAAGACATTTGGGGATTTTTTGATGTAAGGGCATTAGCCTTAGAGTTTATGAACACCTATACTCATTTAAAAGTAGAACTGCAATCAGCATTTTCACTGCACTATTCAAAGTTTTAGGCTTATTTCCTAATCCTCCTATTTGAGAATTCTTAGCTGTATGAGCAATCTGTGGTTCCTTCCAATGGCCAGTTTCATAGTTGAAATATGTATACGGTTGTTTTTGGGGGATTACAATGTCTTTCTTGGGTATTATGCTATGGACAAGTTGAGCAACTGTTTAAAAGGAGGAGGATGGTTTCCTTAATAGATGGCAGAACATTGCACAGTAAAATGAAAAATTTTCCTTAAAATTTGTAGTAAATTGCAAACATATAAGCATATATTTCAGTATTTCTCACAGTATGAAAGACAACTTTCCCAAAAACTCAAGCGTCAAGAAGAACATTGCTTTCAGAAAGTCTATGCCATTGAAAGACAAATTTATCTACGCAAAGAGCAAATAAAAGCAACGCAAAAAAAGCTTGACCATCTTCGGAGAAAAATAGCCCTATTGCTATCAAGAATGAATCCCGTAAGTGCTATTATTCAATTGCAATATTATATGCAATTAAACTACATTTATTTCTGCAAAAGTTATATTTCTTTATATGTTAGTTATATTATCATTCTACATCACAGAAAATATGGTTTGTTTCAATATTTCCAATAGAGCTGCAATCCAAATGAGGTTTGTAGGAAGCTAAGGAAATGTTTTTTTAAAAGATTTATGGGCTATTTATGTTTTTAGAATTATAAGCAATGGAAAATGAAAATATTAAAGATGCCATTTATTTGGCAAATTCTGTTTCCATTGAAATATTAAAGTAAGAAGGAATGTCTTTTCCCTGATCAGCCAGATACGTTAATTTAATTTATGAGATATAAATTAAAACTTAAATGATTAACCAAAATTACATTATTGGCAGATACTTCTAATGTCTATCTTTATGCATTAGTTGATACATAGCGTGATTTTTAAAACACTAGACAAGCTGATCCTTAAAATTCTTACTTAAATAATTTGTATATAACAACGTAACAAAATAAAATGGAATCCTAGATTATTCAATTCTTTTAATTTGAATATTACTATTGATTCTATTAGAATTTTTAATACAGGTGATTCAGTCTTAGATACGTTTGCTTTAAAGCATCATCGTTGTTTCACAGAAATAACAGATATTGTTCAATAAATTATTGTTTTAATATATTATTTTTTAAAATAAAATAATAGTAATAAGGTATAAAATTATATAATTTCCAATATAAATAATATACAACACATCTATACATACAGGTCTTAATATACAAGTCTCCAAATATAGACTAAAAATATAGACTAAAATAGACTAAAAAGCCATTCAGAAAAGAAAATAATGATTTGCAAAACAGGAGGGCGGTTGAAGATGAAAATAATCCCCCTGGCTGCTATTATTCTGATGGAGATTAGCCTTATTTAAGGGTGAATAAAATATGCAATCAATTATAACAATGAATGTGCTGTCCCACTCTGTTGGGTCTGTCTACATAGTTGGAACAACTGATGAAGCTATCCCCTTTCCCCTATTAATGAAAATTCAGACCCAGATGAATGTTCATATCTAGCATTACAAGATTGGGATAGAACCCAGAAGTTATCACAGGTTGGGGATAGAGCAAGCATACATTATGCATAACCAAATGTTTGAATAGAAGTTATTTTTTCCAGTGACTTTTTCTTTTTAAATTTCCCATTCTAAGAAAACCATTGCATATGACAGTTGCCTATGATACACAGTTTTAGCCAAAGGGGCTATTTAGGATAATTCTCTCTGGAGCTGTTACTATAATAGCAATGCATGTTTGCCGTCTGTTGTTTCAGCATCTTGTTATAAATAATCTGGAACATGTCGATACCATCTTGGAAGAATGTTTAAACCAAGAAATCACTCATCCTTTGGTTCCTGTAACTACTAACTTCTGACATAAGTGAATCTACATTGCTGGATAAAGAAAATGGGAGAGTACATAACACTTTATAGTGTATAATAAGATGCAGATATAGATGCAGGTAACAGGTGGTAAATAAAATAATCTACTGTTATTCTGCAGAAGTCTTCCGTGTTATAGTGTTAATTAAAGTTCTAAGTTGTGTTTTATGATTTACCTGTTGTATTTTGAAATTATTGGAACCAATCTATGAAGACCATTTACTTTAAAGTGTATGGGTGTAGTTTAGCAAGAAAATATTTATTAAATGATTTGTAATCTGTAGTCTATAGTCTTTTGAATATTCTGTTGGAATTATTGTAGAAATTATTAAAATAATTTTGTGTACTTTTATTGTTTTGAAATAACTTCATGGACATTATATAACTGTTTTGCATGAAAATTAAAGTTTGTTATGACACGTTATTAAAATTTACTACATCTCATAAGTAAAGCTAATTTAAAGCTTGATTGACTAGTGTTGTTGACTGAAATAATTGACATGTACTTATTAAGGGAAACATTTAATCCATGACAATTATTTAAAAGCTTTCCCCAATAATAAATGCATATTTAGGGTGTAATGAAGACCACATCTTAAAATTATCTTAAAGGAAACAAATCTTTAGCATAAGACCTATTGAATGCTTCACCCAATCTCTCTACTTTTACACTAGCTTTACCACAATGGTGTTTTGGAATTGCAAAGTATATATATCATATTTTTGGTGAAGAAAATGCTATAGCGTATATATTATACTGAGGCAAAGATGACAAAGAGCTCAGGGTTACCAGAAGAGAATTAGCTAATCAGAGCTTTAATGGCACAAAGATTTCCAGTTGCTCTATTCATCCCTGCTGTTTCTTCCTTGAGTTGATAATAGAGTTGAAGTATAACTTACAGGATATTTCTCTTCTTCCTTCCAATCATTTCAAGTATCCATCTATAGTTTTTTTTTCCCCCTGCTTTCTTTCTAGGAGCCTGAAATAATCACTTGTAACAGACTGTTTTATTCTGTTTCAATTGTTCCATCTATTACGGCATATTTTTCTCTCTATTTCATTTTCTTTGCCATAATCCTACTCTCTGAAATTACCAATTACTTTCTCTATGTGGCTTTTAGACCTCAAATATCTAGGTTAGTTTATGAGCCTTAACTATTGGTCAGCTGCAGTGAAAACATTTCTTTGTAAATTTATGGCTCATAGATTAGACAATCCAATGATAATGAATCATTAGCTTATGAATTAATGGTTTAGCATGAGACCAATGAATTTTGTTGTGAAAACCCAATTCAAAATTAATCAACTTAATGTGATAAAACTAATAACATAATGTTTAAAGATTAGAAATCCTGCTGTTTTTCTTATTATTTTTGACAAATTAAAAAAATACCTTCAAGAAGTTAATGTTTTAATATCTTGAAAACAACAGGATACATTGATCTAAATTATAACTGTATCTGAAACTAGTACAAGTAACATCACAAAGCCTTATAATGTCAAATTGTCAGGCATGAAAAACTAGAGCCACATGTTAAATTCCAATTAAATTGATTTATTGCTCATGTGCTCTGTCCTCTGTACAGGAAACTAGTCAACTAATGGTTAGCACTATTTTAGCATTAAATAGGGGGTTAATGAATTCAAGACAGGTTGAACTTAGTCTGCTTGTGACATCATAGAGATTCTAGGCTGTTTCCTGTCGCCTATGTCCCCCTGGCTTCTACATAAACCATTTAAAAATAATTTAAATCGGATGTTAAGGAAGAGGAAAACTCAAAAGGAGGTTCAGCAGAATGTAGAACAAACAATGGTAGAGGAAAGCATTGCCCACAGACAAAGTAATAGACAGACATTTAATATGGAGGTTAATTAGTCAATTAAACAATAAGGGCCGAAGACAGAATAGGATAAACATGCTATGCAGTGGTGGGATTCAAATTTTTTTACTTTCGGTTCTGTGGGCATGGCCTATTTTGTGGGTGTGGCCTAGAGGTCATGTGACTGGGTATGGCTTATTTGGTGGGTGTGGCTTGGTGGTCATGTGGCTTGGTGGGTGTGGCCTGGAGGTCATGTGGCTGGGTGGGCGATGTCACTGACTTCATCCTTGCCTATCAGCTACTACTGCAAAAGACATAAAACAATATTGTGCTTTGATTGGACTTGATTGTGGCTGTAAGCTGAGGACTAAGGTAACAGAAGGGATCTCTTTTTTCACCCAACAATGTACAGTCTTTATCAGCATGGGGTCCAAAGAAAGATACAGTTTTTCATTGTTGGAAGTTAAAACCCATCCCTCTCCTAGGAAAATGAAATATTTTAGGATATATTAAAAAGGCAGAATATTTCCCCTAAAAAGAAAAGTAACAACTCAAGAGAGGCAGAAATTCTGCCCCCCCCCCTTTGCTAATGGGCCATTACTCTGGCCTAGGCCAGTCTATTTTACATAACAAAGATCTACTCCAGGTAGAGCTATATTAGGAATTGCCCAAAGCCCTTTCATTACATCATCATCCAGCAAGGCTCAACCAAGTCTGGGACTCAAGACAGCCTACAGAGGTGCCCCTGCATGGCCCATGGGAATCTGACAACCAATCAGAATACAAGCTCAAATTCAAATCCCAACAGAGGGCATAAAACCAAGGAACTCTCAGCCCAAGAGCTCAAAGGCATGTGATCCTGTCCACCATTAAACCATCTTTACAAGCAGTCACCAAGTTTCCAGTGTGTTTCTTCCCCAGAACTGAACCCAGGATAATTCTTCCAACATCATCTAAGAAGCTAGATCAATAAGAATGAATTTCATAGGTACATCCACAGAGCAATACTGATTTCTTTTTCTAAAATTTATTCCTCAGTCAGTTCACTGATTATATGAATTAGGTTCAGTATTTAGGTCAGTACAAGGCAAGTAGCCTGTTAGTGGTGTCATGGTTAAAACAATGGTAAAGCAACATGGATTTAAAAACCAGAAATATTTTGTTGGGTAGAATACATATTTAATTTTACACATGTTAACAGCTGCTGGAATTGTCTTTGCACAATGATGTAAAAACAAAGATATGAAAATGAATGAAAAATATTAGAATGTGCAGAAATGAATAAATTAACAATTACAAATTTACAATCGAGAAGGCTTAGAATACTTTTTAACATGGGATTTCTTTTATCAATGGCTAGAAACAGAAGTTAGAAATGTAAAAGTGTAAAAGAAACACCAATTATATAAGGAAAGTTCAGTAAAAAAGATTAGCAAATATTATTAGTATTTGATCATTGTTAATGCGTAGATAACTTTGAGAGCATACCCGCCCCGCCCCCCCCAAAATACTGCAGATAAAAACTCAGATCTCAACATGTTAAAGCCAACTTTAATAATGGTGGAAGTGTTATACCCCAAAACAAGTTACTAATTTTCTCAGAAAGTAAAGTTGCTGCCAAGCAGCTGGACACGTAAAATGTCCCCTGCCCTGCATGCTGCAAGCATCAACATCAAAAAATGCTAGGATATGTTATGTGCCTAAAAAGTAAAGCTATCTTTTTAGATTTTTCCAGCTGTATCTACTTTGTTAGTGTGTGTGTGTAGTTTTCAGTTGTGTAGGGAGTGTGTTTTCAGTTGTGTAGCTTTGTGGGTCTGCTGCCAATCCAGAAAAATCATACTGTAACGTGACTGGATTGGCAGCAGACCCACAAAACTACACAACTGAAAACACACTCCCTACACAACTGAAAACTACACACACACACACACACACACACTCACAAAGCAGATACTTCCTACACAACTGAAAACTACACACACAAACTCACAAAGCAGATACAGCTGGAAAAACCTAAAAAGATAGTTTTAATTTATAGGCACATAACATTTCCCACAATTTAAAAGAACTTCCATACACACACAATGACAACCTCACAAAGCAGCTGCTTTCTAAAAATAAAAAAGCAGCTAAAATTTCCCAAATTTTATATGACTTTTTTTTATCAAAAAAATTAACACTTACTGTTTTTTTAAATCAGGGGTCTTCAAATTTGACATTTAAGACTTGTGGACTTCAACTCCCAGAAGCCCTTCTCCAGTCATGGTAGCTCAGGAATTCTGGGAGTTGAAGTCTACAAGTCTTAAAACTTGCCAAGTTTGAAGACCCCTGCCCTGATTTAAATAAGAAAAAAAAGCCAATTGAAGAAAGCAGGGAGGCAGAATCAGTTGCTCACCTAGGAGATGGATGCAGCACAAGCAAGGCAGAAGACAAGTGTAGGAATCGACAAGTTTAGGAAAGACAAGTTTGGGAATCGGGAGAAGGCCTCTGAAGGAGGTAAGTGCTTGCTGGAGGCTGGAGGTGGGAGGGAAGTGGGTTCTTTTAACAAGGCTGGCTAGGCTGGAGCCTATGGGCTCTATCCTGGCCAGCAAGGACCTCTGAGGGCTTTTAGAAGCTCTTGAGGGGGTGGGGGGTGATCGCGATGGCTTGGAAGCAATCGTGGCAGCTCGAAAACTCGGGGCAAGACTGGGTGGCAGGAAGAAGATCCGGGGCCTTCAGCAACGCGGCACAAGTTATCGGGGTGGCTTGGCTGGCTACACGAGGCCCTGGGCTGCAAGCCATGGCCTCCGGAGGCTCCACAAAGGCCTGGATGAAGCTGGGCAGCAGGAAAGTGTAGCAGGGGCCTCGACAGTACAGCACAAGCCATCGCGGCGGTTTGGCCAGCTGTCCGACGCCCAGGCTTTATGCCACGGCTGCCAGAGGCTCCACAAAGGCCCGGACAAAGCCAGGAGGTGGGAAAGTGCGATGGGGGCTTTGGCAGTGTGGCACAAGCCATTGCCGCTGCTTGGCCAGTTGTGTGAAGCCCCGGGATAGAGACCATGGCCTCCAGAGGGCCCCAAAAGCCCAGGGAGAAGCCGGGCAGTGGGAAGAATCACTGGGGGTGGGCGACCGCAAGAGTAGCGGCCGGCCTACAACAGACCCGCGGTGACTTGGGGAGCTATGCCAAACCGCAGATTGAAGCCACCGGGTGGCGGGAAGGATCACTGGGGGTTCAGCCCAGGGCCGGGGCCAGGCGCTGGGGGCTCAGTGCTTACCTGGTCCTGTAGGCATATCCTATAGGAGGTCCGTTGGGGAAGAGTAGATTAATCTCAAATCAGCTTAAGCAGGCAACCACAGAGAGACTAGCATGCGTAAGCGATAAGACCACTTGGCAATGCCTTTTTATAGGGTGGGCTTGGGATGGGCGGGCTAAGCGTCGTGTGGGTGGGGCAAGCAAGCGGTGAGAGGGCGGGCAGGGCAAGCAAGCGGTGACCACTCGGGCGACTGGAACCGGTTTTGGGGCATGGCCAGCCAGAAGTTGCTAACGGTTCCATGACCCACGCCAAATTCTTGCTACCGGGTTGCCAGAACCGGTGCAAACTGGCTGAATACCACCTCTGATCTGTACCCTTGAGTTACATAAAAGTATGCTGATATACATTGGCAGCCCTATTGCCAATCTATCTTGCCACAGTAACAAAGGCAATAAATGATATATGTCAGATCTTGATGCAACCAACATCAAAAAACAAACACAGCAGGGTTTCTAGGAATGATGTTTATTGTTGTAAGTTTGTAAACTAACAATCTTGACAAACTGTCATTTCTCTCTACTACATATTCTACCATAACAACAACAAAATTAAGGTGAGGCTATTTTGAGTTTCAGTAATATTTTCTGAAAGTTCCCTTTGACAGCTTGCTCATTCCTTTACCATTCCTTCACAGCAGTTCCCTTATATATTGAGGACCAAGTTAAAGGATATGAGAATTCTTTTGACTTTGTTTTCCCTCCCATGAAACATTACCTGCCAATGGGAGAAAATGGTGGATTTAAGCACTTGTCATGTTTGTTTGTTCAACTTAGAGGACAGGTAACTCCATAAGACTCACAGCATACAAAAACAAAAAACCAACAGCACAATATAGCACAGACCATGTTCTCACTTAATAGTGAACAGGTGCTCAGGAAAACAGTTGAAACAAGGAAAATCTCTCCTAATGTCCTGTTCTCTCTGCGCCCATGACCTGTCAGTTGGATTAGTTCTGCACATGGTACTAGCTCTCTTTGGCATCCACCTGATGGGTAGAAGGCACTGACTCAGGATGGGCTTCAGTAGAATGGATGATCATTAATGTGACTCAAATCATAGCCTACACAAGCTCAGACAGGAGCTACAAGGTAAAACTCCTAAACCACAGAGGGCATAGAATAGAAACATGTTTTTGCAGAGCCCACGTTTGCAGAAAAATTAGTTCTAACCTGCTAGGGTTTAATTTGAACTTGTTTGGCCTCCTGCAGTCCTCGCAATTTCCATATAAGATACCAGATCAAAACCTTCATAATATTTCAAACCTATTCCTGACTGAATTTATCCTTCACATCTTGTGGGGTAGGGATGCAATGGATGAATTAACTCAGATTTAGAAGTCATTATGGCTTAGATATATGGAGATTGACAAAAATGAAATCACTTTACAAAGAAATAGGATTTAAATATTTGAGACTTTTATAAAAATAAGAACTAGAAGAAGTCATCCTATACAAATTTCTCATGAAATGAAGAAAGTATATGTGTGATGTTTAGGAATGTGGCAGCTTATGTGTGCAAGTGTTATTAAGACTGGCTTAGAATTTGGAAATATTGTGTGTCATTTAGTCATATAGAATTTGGCTGTCAAATATTTTAACTTTTTATTAACTTGAATTAGCTTGATTTTAATATGTATGAGCAGCATTTATTATTCTTCAACTGAAGATAGAGTGGCACAGCAGATACTTTTCATATAACAATACTTTTACTTATTTAATGAAACTTTGTCTCTAATCTGCCTTTATTCTCAGACAATGGACTTTGTCCCTCTGACCTTTATTGAAGGGTTTGTTTGTTTACTAAATTATAAGCTGCAGAAAAAAAAGAATATAGAAAGGAGAAATGATATAAAAATATACAAAATATAAAATAAATTAAGATGTTTAGATGTTAACAGAGAGAAGAATCAAGATTGCAGGAAGTGCTAATATCATTTTATAATGTCTTGGTAAGACTACCCTTGGCATACTGCAGCCAGCTTTGGTTGCCACAATGTAAAAACGGTGTTGAGACATTTGAAAGGGTTCACAGAAGAGCAAGAAAGATGATTGGAGGCTAAAACATATAAAGAATAGTTGCTGGAAGGGAAAAACGAATCCACTTATTGTCCAAAGCACCTTTTTCCCCAAATTTTTCCCCAAAAGCCATCACTGCTAAACAAATAATTCCCTCAACACTGTTTAACTATTTACAAAGGCTGCACTATTACTGTTAATCTTCTTATCACTCTTTATCTCCCATCCCTTCCCACTTGTGACTTATGACTGTAACTTTGTGGCTTGTATCCTTATGATTTATATTGACTGTTTCCTAGTATGATTTGACTGCTTATTGTACCCTATGACTATCATTAAGTGTTGTACCTTATGATTCTTGACTCTTGAATGTATCTTTTCTTTTATGTATACAGAGAGCATTTGCACCAAGACAAATTCCTTGTATGTCCAATCACACTTGGTCAATAAAGAACTCTACTCTATTCTATTCTACCTGAAGGCAGGACAAGGAGCAATGGATAGAAAGTAATCAAAGAGAAAACCAACATAGAACTAAGGAGAAATTTCCAGACCCAACAATTAATCCATGGAACAACTTTCCTCCATAAATTGTGAATTTTCCTGCCTGAGCAGGGAGTTGGAATAGAAGATCTCCAAGATCCCTTCCAATTCTCTTATATAACTCCAAAAATAAGAAAAAAAATATTTAAAGAAATGATTTTCAGCAAATATAGTTAATTGTTCTTCCCTATACACAACGTTCTTCCTATATAGAACCCCTTTTCATTAATAAATAAATAAAAACTAATGAAGCAGATTTTATTTTCTGGACATCCAAAATATTGATTAGTAATCAAATCATAACACCTATTTCTGCATGAATTATTTTTAAGAGCAACACCTTTCTATTTCATAAAAGAACTATATTAACTGGTAGAGCTGAAGGTAATCCCACTTCTATTTTTACTTATACTAAATCTATAATGATCTTAAGATGCTTACAGTTGTTACATGTGTTGGAGCTCCTTCTATTCCAGTTAAACGTGAGCCACTGCAGTGAAGGAAAGTGTTCGCAGAAACAAATTTAAGAAAGCAGGATAGATTAATTGCCTCCAAATGGGTGCCAATGAATCAATGGAGGAAATCATTGCTATGGAAAATTACCAATGGTATGCAAAATTCATGAAAGAATGCCCATCTGGACAACTCACCATGTATGAATGCAAGAAGGTTCTTGGTCTTGAAAATTCAACTACACAGGCAAATAATTATGTTGAGAAAGTATTCAATATTTTTGATACAAATAAGGTAAGTTATTTCTGTATTGCATAGTTTTTGGTAATTGTGTGCTGTTTTTCATTTATTGTATACAAAATATTTTAGCATCTTAAGTCTGACATTTGTTTTACAATTCCTTCTAAATTGATTTTGCAAAATATAAAAGTAGCTAGTATGCCTGTTTAACAAGATTTTAATTTATCAGTGATTAAAATATATTTTATAGCTCTGATAGTTATCTTGATATCTCATACTTTTGTGTACTTTACACATTGATATCTGTGAGATGCACAGAATTAAGATATATATAACAGAGGTTGTAGACTTTAATATGGTTGCCAGCGCTGTGCCTTCAATTTTCAAAGGCGTATGGAGTTATTAACTATTAAAACCACTATGTATCAATATTATTAATCTTCATGAATTTGTCACATTCCTTGAAATTTTGGAGCCACTATACGTACCATATACTTCTATAGTAGTTCCTGTGGTCATTTCTCTAAAATTGCATGCCCAGTTGTTGTTATATTTCATTACTACAATTTTATTTATCTTTTTCTATTTCTATCCCATTACTCCTGTTCAATATTCTTTCTGAAATAAAATAAGAATTGTGTATAACATTCCTAATGTACTTGCATCATATTTACTCACTTGTTTTATATTTGCTTTCCCTCCTAATGATACACACTTTAAAAAAACAAATTTGATTATTTACAGTTTATTTGTGACAGTTTCTTTCATCATACTTTCTTTCATCATACTTATCTTAAAATGTTTTTGAATTTGTCTTCCCGAAAAAAACTAGGCATATTAAGTTTGTAGGAATTAGTGATTGGTTTGTACTTTGGGGGATTATTGACTTAATGTCAGCCTTGTGACTAAAGTTAAGTATAATCTTAGCTCAGGCAAATTACAAAACAGTAATGGCAACCATTATTATTTGAAGATACAATCTCTCAAATAACTTTTAAGCATATAAGCTAGACTCATGAGCAGTGTTTTCACAGGCCCAGCAACTATACTTCTTTACTTCCAAATTTTTTTCCTTTGGAAAATGTGACAATAGAATATTAGAAATTGATCTTCGCATATAGTACTTTGTAATGAGAAAGGCTTAAAGAAAAACAGAACTTCAGCAGAAAAATTAGTATCACTAATCCTTTATGAAGTCAAAATAATGTGACTCATGAAACACAGTCAGCTCTCATTGCTTTTTCTTAGCACTGAAACAATTGCAGAAATCCTGGAAAGTTTCCGGTTAGGCACAAAGTTATAAAACCAGGAAAAAAAATTTATTAATGTTTTTATGCAACTCATCTCCCCTATAAGGCAACTCTGGCTTTAAATCACTGTCATTTTTTAAAATATTCCCATGGATTGTCTACCTGCTCATTGGCTGACACCAATGAGAACTAGGTTGTCTAACCCAGAACTCACATAATTTTATTGCTTATTCATATGTATATTCATAATAGATGCGCACGCACGCGCATAAGTTTTTATTGTAACATTCCTTAAGCTACAATCTCTTGCAAATAGTGGGCTCCGATGCCAGAACTGGTGGTTCTAGAATTCCAGGTGTAATTCTTACAAACTGATAATGCAAGTCTGGTAGTTATAGTCCTAGCTCCTGGTGTTCCATCCAGATAACACTATTATAAGACAGTAGCCACAGATTTTATTTGGCATACATTACACTGCTACATTTGAGCAGGAGACTAACATTTAATTTAATGTGATAATTTCTCAGGCTTCTCTTCCTGCAGCTTACATTTTCAATGAACTACATTTGATGTCCGTCTTGATCTAAGATTGATAAATTGATAAATTTTCACTATAATTCACTTGGCTAGGACATTAGTGGTTTCTAATTTCAGCTTATTTGGATAAAGTATACTTTAAATTGATTATAATTTCTAATAATATTTCTAAAGTGAAAAAGGATCATGCATAAAATTTAATTGTCTTATTGAAGACCTAATTGCCCATGCTACTTATGAGTGGATTGCTTTTAGACTTGGACTTTGTATAGATAATGAAATATGGGACTATTTATGCAGAGTATAAATTGAAAAAAGATAGTTGTACAAAAGTTTTGGAAACACTAGATATGTACTAGATATGTACTAGATTAATATTTGTATTAGATGAGTATATATAGATTATAACTGTTTATTGTTAGGACATAGACTGTTTTTCTTTGTTGTAGTTTTTTAAACTGTTTAATTAAAGCACTATTTATGTTTTTTGACATTTGTCATTAATATTTTTTACTTTATTATTTAATATTTTATGATTTTTCATTTCTATTTTTGATATTAAAAAGCAATTATATCGAATAGTCCAGATCTATAGGTACTACTCACTTAACAACCATAATAGGCACTGGCAATTATGTCACTAAATGATATGATTGTTAAGCAAGACAATAAATGTCCATGACCTGCAATTTCACTGCCGGCTTCTCTGTTTACGTGTTGAAAGCAGACTGCCATGCTTGCAAATGATCACATGACTGAGGGACACTAAGATAGTAGAAAGTATGAGGACCACTCCTAAGGTTATATTTTTAATGTTATCATAATTTTGAATGGTCACTAAATAAAGCAGTTGTTAAGTGAAGACTATCTGTATTAAAAAGTGACATCTGTTGAGGCTTATATTTCCTTTAAGGTGTGCCTGTATGAGCATACAGACTACTCATGAAACCTGTGCACAAATAAAGTCAAACACTCACAAAATAAAGTTTAAGTAATACAGTAATAATTTAGTCATCATAAAACTCTGAGCTCACAGTCCCAGGGAGTCCTGCAAAAACTTACCACCTCCGTTTAACTGCAGTAGGCAAGGTGCATGGACTGAGCAGAACTGAATGAAATTTTGTGACTCTAACAGAGAGGCTAAGGAAAGCAAATGTGTGTAAAGTTATCATGCAAGTACCGTATATTTTGTATCAGTCATTGAGACAAATATATAATTGCGACATTTGTATAATGTACCAGTGCACTAAAATCATCATTTTTAGGTCAGTGCAGTTTGCTGAAGATGCTGCTGATTAATGTCAATCTGTTTGGAAAAGGCAGCTTTTAACAGCTGTGAATTCAACATTCCAATTGACTTCATGCGTGCTGTATTGGAAACATGATCCTTCCCTGCACCCAAAAGAGATCTTTGGGTGAGGTGGGAAATAGTAAACAAGGAGTCAGAGGATTTGATTCTGAGTTTATACCTTTGCCAGAGATAGGTAATTTGTGGCTCTAGCTTGCATATAGCAGAAAAGCTAGCCATGAATGCAGTCACTCTCAGTCAGCCTAACCCATTCATAGGATTGTTGTTGTGAAGAAAATAGGAGGAAAAAGGAATATTATATATGTTCAGTGCTTGAAGTCACTTATAAAAAATAATAAAGTTGGGATAAAATTATCTATCTATCTAGCTTATCTATCTATCCATCCATTTAATATAATTGCACTCACTTTTCTGCCACATCTGCACTGAAAGCCACCAGAGTTTAACAAGAGTTAATTTGCACATATTTAATGTATGTATTGTTCGCAATTTACACATGGTAAAATGAGACTTTTTGCAGTTGGTAATATTCAGCAGTAACCTTGCACCAGCTTTGACTGCTCTTGTTCTTCTAATCTACAAATAGAATATTTACAATTTTTCAGAAGTTGCTGGATTTCAGCTCCCAACAGCTTTATGAAGCAGGCCAATGGTATTGATGGATTCAACTATTCCGCACTATTATTCTTATAATCGAGTTCAAAGAAATTCACAAAAATGTCAGAAATCCTTTTAGAAAAATGATTTGATAAAAGAAATCAACACAAAATGTTTAACTGTATTTAAATTTCATGAGGGGAGGCACAAACTGCATTCTATCTCATGCCTGTCAGAATAGTTTACGTGCTTATATAGTATTAAAACATGATTGTTTTATTCTGATTAAACTATAATCACAATAATTAAACTATAATCGTATTCACTTTTTGAGTATTCTCCTTTTCTGTCTCATACACATAACTTGCATGAATGTAGCTGTTTGTCCAGCCATACTTACATACTTCTTTGCAAGCTGTTGACAAATCTGGGAATCAATCATTTCTTTTTTATATCCACAATGTCACCCTATTAACAGTATTAGATAAAAATCTATTTTATAATACATTTGATTGTTAAGGATTTAATCTTGCAAGTGTATTTCCCCAATATAATTCAATGAGATTGCTTCTAACCCAGTGGTCGCCAACCAGTGGGCCATGGCGGGCCACTGGTGGGCCGTGAGAAAATTTTGGTGGGCCACAGAGAAATGCCCCCCAAAGCACCCCCCAAAGCCTGCCCACCCACTGGCTCCCACCCTTCGGCCGAGCGCAAACCCGCAAAAAGCAACACAGTCCTTGCTGGGCAGGACGAGGTAATGGCACTGTTGCAGCAAGAGGGAGCTGGCGGCACAGGCGGGCTGAAGTGGCAATGGAGATGGCCGGAAGGTGCAGGAGCGGCACACTACTTGCATTTGCGCAGCACTTCCACATCTTCCAGTTTGCCTCTCCTGGCCTGGGCTCTTCCTCGATGGCTGCGGGTTGTAGGGACAGCCAGGGGCAGGAAAAGTACTGGCTGGTGGTAGTGGGAGTGATTTTTTTTGTGAAAATCCCATGACATGCTGAAATGACGAGCCTTTTCAAGAAGAGATGAACAACTTACATTGCTGTTTTTTGCATGGAGCAAACAACTGCTATCAACCTCATGCTCTGCTAGCATCACTTAGATTACTGACAATGTGCTTTTTGTAAAATTGTAAAATATTTTGTAAAATTGCAACTGATGTATTAAGACAGTTTCCTATGTGAGTAAAGTAGGTGGAGCTCCATTTGACCACATAAAGAAGCTGTTCCTGCTATTGAGTTAGGAAAAAACAATGCTTAATGTACAAGTCATGCCAGATGGGGTGGGAGAGAAGGGAAGACTCAAACAAAGCATTCCTGGTAGTGTTGTGGTTCGCCGGCAGCCAGTGCAGCCAGCAGCAGAATCGGACATTGGGAAGAACGGGGACTAGTCAGAGAGTCTTAACAGAAATTTGAGCTGCAGCAGTCCGGTTTGCAGGGCTTCAGTGACAGACAGGAATCCACGATCGTGCACAGTTTTTGCCTGGGCTCGCTGCTGGAGCGCCCCGAGCTGGCTGGTTTTGGGGCTAAGCCACCCCGTAGAGGTGGTGAAGAGGGGGGAGATCACCAGCAGGGTCGAGGAGAGCCGCATCTCTCCTCCTCAGCTGGCCAAACTCCCTTTCCCGAAGGCGGTAGGAGCGGTGGTCAGAAATGGCCACCTGAAAGAAGAACTCAACCAGAAAAGAAAGTGCAGAAGGAAGATAAGAAGTGAAAGTTTTGGCTGACCGGGTTAAGTTGAAAAAGCAACAACTAAGGTACCCTGGAATTTAAATTTTACAAAAGATAACATCACTCCCAAAGAAGAGTCGGAAGCAGCGAAAGAAAGTGAAAAGGGAAAGGTTTTTTTTTTCTTCTCTCTCCTTCCTTACATTGACAACTAAGAGATCGGAATAAGAAATCGGAAAAATCCGCTTTGGCATCAATAGGCAATTAAGCTGAAAATATAACTAAATGCCAAAGGGACAATAAAGATTTCTAGACATTAAAAACTTTTTCTTTTATAAGCAGGAAGGGAGAGGAAAAGAATAAGGGCAGGATCTGGAGGGAGGAGACTGCCTGGACTTCAAAAGAATCTAAAGTAAAATTTCAACAAGATTTCTAAAAGATACATTTTAACTGAAACTTTGCAACTAAATAGTAACCCTAGGAAGAGAAAGTGAAAAAAAAAAGAAAGTGTAAAAAGAAACAGCTTGTGTGTATTTGGATTGTCTGGTGACTTGGATTTTTGGTTATTATATTTGAATGACTAAAACCAATTGGGTGGTTGTTTAAAATTTTTTACAATGGCATCACTTCTGGATGAATTGAAAATGGAACTTAAAAAATACAAAGAAGATGCACAAGAAGGGAAGGGCTCTTTTGGCTTCGTTTTTCAATTCTTAGAAATGGAGATCTGCAACTACGAGAAACAACAAGAAAAGACTGCAAAACAAGAAGACTGGGACAAAGAAGAAGCCATCTTTAATGAAAAAGTAACTCTATCTGGGGAAGAAAGGGGAAAGGGGGGAAAGAGAATGGAGAATTTAAGACTTAAAAAAACAGCCAAAGAAGGGAAAAATAATTTGAAAAGTGGATATAATGTTGGAAAGCAACAGAAAAGGGGAATACAGAAGAGGGAAATGGAGGTGGAGAGACGGGGGTAAAAAGGGGAGAGAGAAGAAGAGAGGGAAGAAGGAAAGAAAGAGAAGTTACAAAGGTTTGGAGCAAGATGTAAAGAAACAGGACCTATTTAGAGATAATGGGTGAAAATCTAACTGAAAAAGAGATTCAGTGAAGGTACATAAGATTGTATTGTTATATTTGTAATAGAAATAATTTTAGAAAATTGGAAACAACATATGATTAAAAAGAGGGATAAAGTAGTTGGTGTGGTTTGGTGAAATGTTTGTGAATAAAATAAATGAAATAAAATAAATGAGAAAATTGAATTAGGAAGGAACGGGAACATTTTAATTAGTCAATGTTTTATAAAATATAAGTGAAGGGGGGGAAATTAACTATGGAAAGTTTATAATTGTTCCCATAGAAGTATGATATTTATTTGAAAAGTAATGTGCAAAATGTTAAGATTTAAATGAATATTAATATTAATGATAGAATTGAATTGGAATGGATTGTTGTTTTAACTATATTATACATTTATAATTTTTTTCTTTTTTCAAGAATACAGTGTGTAGTTTTAGAATATGCCAAGCAGAATCCGAATGGAAGTTATGTATTATATTAAGTGTTATAATTTTAGGGGAAAGATATAAAGGCGTCATACTCCAATCAGTGATTACAGGAGAAATTTTGTTTAATGAGAAAAGATAGTAGACAGTTGAAACAGGACAGACAAAGAATATAAGTACAATGATTTGAATTGAGATGAAATAAATAAAATAAAATTAAGAAAGTTAAAAGAGGGGAGAAGCTATGTAGAAAATGTAGAATAGTAATAAGATATGGAATGGAATATAAAAATGAGCATGAACTTGAATTTGTGTCTGTACGAAGAGATGTAACCCGGGATTATGCTGCTTTCAAAAAAGATGTCTTACTTGTATTTCTTTTCTTTTTGTGAAAGCTCAAATAAAACTTACAAAAAAAAAAAAGAAATTTGAGCTGCAGGTAGTGAGGCTGTTCTTCTCAGTGGCTGGAAACAGTTCTTGTTGTGGAACTGCCGTTTCCATAATGAACAGTTCTGGTTTGCTGTAACAGCAGTGACATTTCTGAAGTTTACCACTTTTACTTTTTAAAATCTGGTGGGCAGTCTGAAGTGGTGATACAGAGAGGAAGTCTCTGTACCACATTATTATTGTTGTTGTTGTTATTATTATTATTATTATTCCCATGATAGATGGTTATACAGCGAGTTGTTTTCTGTTTCTGGCCTTTTACTGATCCTTTTCCTTGTTTTTGAATGGGTGGAACTCTTCTGTAGCAAGAAAGTTACAAGATGAGGAAGCCATCAAAACATCCTTAATTATTTTTGCAGCATGTTATCTTCTTATTAATATTATTGTCAAAAAAAATGCAATTTCATATACTTTGCAAATATACTCTCACACACTCTTTTTTTTTTATTTTAAGGATGGACTTATTGACTATTTGGAGTTTTTAGCTGCTATAAATCTAGTGATCCGAGGGAAAATTGACCAAAAATTGAAATGGTATTTTAAACTTTATGATATTGATGGGAGTGGAACAATTGACAAAAAAGAAGTTATCAGCATGTTAATGGTGAGTAAGCACACAAATTAGCAAGGATAAGTCTTTCTATGGGGGTTTAATACTATGAATATACTGGTGTTTTGACTGTTATAATAAAGATATAGCCAAATTGTCACTTATTTCTTTACTGTCCCAGAGACAAAGGCAATATGTATCTATACTGAATTTTCCCCACTTCCATTAGGCGAGACTGGAAACTATCCAAAGCTGCTATCGCCTGTTGGTATTTAGGCTTCTATGTGTTATGCATTTGGATTTGGATTCCTGCATTGACTTAAATGGTCCCTTTCCAACTTTTTTTTCTTACTGTATTTATTAATGTTTTTATAGTGTCCTCCAACAGGAAGACTCTATATAGCACATTATAACAATGTAAAAATATAAAACAGTGTGAACCAATATATGAATTGCAAAAAAAAAAGAGATGGAGCTGAGCAATGTCTGACGATAGTTTTAAAGGGTTCTGTAGATTTGACAACCTCTGAAATTGGGTTAGCTCTTAGATGGTACTCTCAAGGGGCAGATTCAATGCTGGCATGCAGTATCTAATAGATCTTGTTACTATACTATGGAAGACTTCATAAGTTAAGCTTACTGGTAATAAGTGTAGTGATTTTAGAAGAGATGTTATCTGCCAGAATACGTTTGACCTGCCAGCTGTAGCTTCTAGGTCACTCACTTCACAGGCTCCTCCAAATATAGTATTTTAGTAAACCTATGGTGTTTCTAAACAGATAAATACTAAGACATCGATCACCACCTTCACTTCTTCAGCTGCAATGAAAAATTAAAAGTAATATGAATAGTATATATTTTTTAAATACCAAAACACTGTGATATGCATTTCAATATAAACTAATAAGCCTCTAAAGTTTTAGACTCTTTTAAACAATGTGACTAGCTACCCCTTACATTTGCAATACAGTGTGGTTATTCTTACATTATTATTTATTTAGGCTATTCAAACAATCAATAAAAACCAAGAGATGACTCCTGAAGAATTGACAAACCTGATTTTTCAGAAGATAGATGTAAACAATGATGGTAAGCATAAATAAACCTTGAAATCTTTATTTTCATTATTTTGCAATTTTGTAAAAGCATTCTGTTGATAAAGCTTTAAAGAGTTAGTCACATGTTCATACATCAAAAATATTATAAGTGATTGAAATTGATCTAATAAGATGATTACTGTATGATGGACATTGTACAAAGCAAAAACTGATTTTTTTAAAAAATTCAAAGAGCCATTCAGACTGTATGGCTTGATCTCACTGTTTGTTTGCAGCAAGATAAAATCAAAGACAGCAAAGAAAGGGAACAGAGAAAAGTATGGTTCATTCATTTCATTTTTGAATTCTTTGTTGAGCAAATTTTATTAAATTGCTTTACAGAGATTCTAACAAGAGATTCTAACTGTACTATAATTAATTACCTTGAGATCTTTTTTTTTCATTTGATCGAGAGTATCCTGCCAGAAGTGATTATTGGCAATTAAATAGTTATAAATATATTTAACTATATATATATATATATATATATATATATATATATATATATATATATTCTGTGTTTTTTAGAAGCAAAGAGCTGAATCTTGCCATGAGAATCAAAGTGAGAAAAATGAATGTTTGAAATGTTGCAAGCTGTATTTTTATCCAGATGGAACAGGATAATTTTACCAAGCATTCTTCAGTTGCATTGTTACTTACCTAAGATATTCTTGCTTTGGTTGTATGTTAGGGAAATCTGATTTTTATTTCAGTTAAGTTCTATTGTAATTATAAATCTCAGTTTATTGTAGGTTCAGCATCATACTCATTAACCCCCTAAGCAGCAACTATCAATTCCAAAAAGAAATATTTAAGAAAAAGTTTCATATATACTATTGAGTCTCTGAGAGCTTTTTCCTTCCAATATAAAACTGATCAGAACGGAATAAATATGCAGAACTAAAGGAAGATGAGAGACTCATTCTTTTGACACATTAAAATAAAACTAGTAACTGAGATTCAAATTATATAGGCCCACAAAGGCAAATATATTTTTCTTCTGCATTTTTATTGTTTCAGTAAAAGCAGCTTGAGGAAGCAAGGAGTTTGAATTGTTTGAATATTTCCTTAGAGCTTAAGAGTTTCTTTTCCCAGTTTTCATTATCTCCATCCCCCTCCCTGAAGCTTCGTCATACAGCTTGCATATCTAAGCAGTATCTCTCCAGCCTTCCTCAGTCTAGGCTCTCCACATCCATGGCCTTAATTATTAGAATGGTCATTCAGCAGTTCTGGAGTGGAAGGCAACAGATCGAAGAAGTCTGCTCTATTCATCTAACAAACTATTCTACAGATGGAACTGCAGGATTCAGAAATGCATCAAATGCAATTTCAAATGAATGGAATATTTGGTTCCCACAAATTGGAGGATATTGTTGGGGAACTATATTACTTTTACCAAGTACAGGTAGTCTTTGAGTTACGACAGTTCACTTAACGAAGGTTCAAAATTACAACATTTCCACAAAAAGTACTTATGATCCAGTCCCAAAGTTAAGTATGTTGCAGCACCACAGCGGTCGTTTGACTTTACGACCAAGCGCAGAGCCATTGCAACATGCTCCCTGCCAATTCCCGCCTCCATCCTGCCCTGCTGGGTCTCTACAGACACTGGGCCTGCTTTGGTAGCCCACCATGTTCCATATGCTCCTCCGTATCCACACCAATCACTTACTTACCTTGGGAAGATCTCCAGAGTTTAAGTCAATTGCTGAAGTTCTGAACCCACCTGGATCTCATTAATTGCACCACTGGGAGATGGATAAAGAAGTGAAGAGCTTGGCGCACCAACTGCCCTGTACCCTTCACTTGCTGGGATCCTTACAGTCCATAGGTGTCTCTGTGCCTGCCAGATCTCCACCAGAGAAGACCCAGCAAACAAGGGCGGAGGGCAGCTAGTGAACCAATTTCTCAATCTAGCTCTGCAGCAACACAATTGGCAAGATCTGGGTGAGTTTGGCACCCTAACAAGAGGTGGGGCAGGGCTACACCCACTTCTGAAAGAGACAGGGCAGTCCAAGGCTTCTCCACTTGGCTGGACAAGGGCCTGGCACCCAACAAGGTGAGCGCAGGGGGCATGGCGTTGCTGCTCTGGCTGTTAGGGAACTGTTGCTGAAAATATGCAATGGGCACACGTGGCACCGTTCAGACTACCACAAAAAAAAGCCTACAGAGATGTGATAGATCTCAGGTTCTTACACATTCCTCCATGCAAAAACGCTTTTCCAAAGAGGACGGAAGTGTGTGTAAAAATACAAGATCTAAGGAAAACAGCTTTGCAACAGTAACTTGAGCTCTGGAGATCTTCCAAAGTAAATGACCAATTGGTGACAGGTGGGAAGAAGTCCCAACCAGTTGTGGGAATCCCAAGAGGCGGGAAGTAGAGCATGGGATATCTCAATGGGTGGGGAGAGGCCTTTGATGGCTGGAGACAGTGGACTTGTCCCTGCACTAGGCCTCCCATGATCTTCCTCACTCCTGAGGTACTTCATGTGCTTTTAATGACCCACACATTTGATTAACAAATGCATGGGGGGGGAGGGATGGGGCTCATTCATTTAACACAATTCAGTTAACATTACGATCGTAATGGGCAGGCTCCATTACATTCATAAGTCGAGGATAACTTGTAATGAATATAGTAGTGGATATGACAGTGTTTTCCCTAATTCCAAGACAGAAAAAGTCAGTCTACAAAACTTTGACTCTAAAGAAGTGCATATTGTTTTCATATAGGGGAACTCACCTTAGAAGAACTCCTGAACGGAATGGAACATGATGAACATTTCCGGGAAATTATTTCAAAAAGCTTTGAACTCTCCAGTGTACTGAAAATTTTACAGAGTGAGAAAAGACACAGCATCTGACACATGTTATAAATGGCACTTGTGACAAAAAGAACAATTCAAGGAATATCAAATACCAAGACTGATGATTATATTTCCCACCCACTATTCAAAACAATAAGACGGTCTAGACAGATTATTAGTTCAGAACTGTTCTTCATCTATTGCCCTTTTCTTTCTCATAACATACAATAGCTTTGTCTACATACATGATAAAAATTTTGTAATGCGGAAAGAAAAAAGAAGCACATAATACTAGATAAATACAATTGGAATTGGGAAGACATTTCTCTAGAAGATACAGAATAGATAAATTGCTTAAATATAATTTGTTTAACTTGAAATTTGGAACATGGTGATAAAGCATTATATAGGACTGTCCTATTTAGATCAGTTTAGGATGAAGTATGTTTTTTCAGTAATGTAATATCTACACTAATCAATTTAAAAATTGGAGTATTTTTTATTAATTAACACCTCAATTAATTTAACAGGCAAAATATAAATAACTATTTGGAAAAGCAGTTAGCTACTTTGGTATTATAGAAATTATTTCAAATGTAAATTAACATGATGTAATGGTCTGGTATTTAAAAGGTCTTTAAGGGTTACAATTAAAGAAATCAGTATTTAAAAATAAACCTTTATCGTGAAATGAGACAAATTTGAGGAAATAATTAAGAGGATGCATTTCAAAACTTTATCTTCAGCTATCAAAGATTAATTCCAATTACATGAAACATATATTTAACAAAATAATTTAAAGGTAATTATTAAAATTATAATTTCTAAAATCCTAGAGCAAAGGCCAATGTTCTTTCCTGCTTGCATATCTTTTTCTTTTTATTGCTTTTGAAAAAGCATAGTTTCAGCCATTCTAAAATTACATATTCGTAAGTCAAGTAAAACTTTCCTTTTTCTGGCTATTGGCTTTTCGCAACATCCTTTATAGTAACGGTGCAGGAGTACATACAGCCATGCATGCACACTCCTATACATCACTCTTAAAGTTTTCTGAATATGAAAAAAAAAAGACGAAATCTTCAAATATTAGAACAATGTGAAATTCCTATGTTCAGATTTGCCACCTAAGTAATTCCCTTAACTTTATAAACTAATCATGCTAAAAATTCTCCTCTCCTTTTGCCTCTCTCCTCAACCAAGGAAGAGGGAAAAAACTGGGCACACATTCTTTTTTCTGTCTGACATATTATTGACAGTTTCCCAAATCCGGAATTGAGAAAATCCAAAATAAATTTTCATCACACTAAGCTATTGAAAGTAGCTTAACAATGCCCAAGAGGCTTGTTTCTCTTGCTCCTAAAACAGAAATATTTTTCATTCCTATCCAGAAATTTAACTTTCTGTTCTCAAACTAAGCTATAGTTACTATCCCTCAACCTCCATAGTACATGTCAATTTGTGTCAATGCTACATTTTAAAAATCTCCTTTTTTGCTATCACAGGAAGCTTTAAAAATTGTATATTAGTTTTTTTCTGTATTCTGTACAACTGCACTCTGTGTACGTTTTATTAAAGTGAACCTCTTTTTGAAATCTCATTTCCCTGAACTTTCTCATAATTCATCTTTTGTATTGTTGTCTTCTATTGTATTGTTTTTATTGCTGATATAGAAAAAATTGTTTCTAATTAAATTGAATAGATCAAGTTCTTCTCAGATTATTAGCTGTTTAAAGATATATGTAACTGAACATAGTACTTGCCATCAATAGTCAGCTAACATTCACTAAACCAGGGGTTGCCAATCTTTTCGATCTCGGGGACCACCAAACTCATATTTTTAAATCCTGAGGACCACTAACACGAATTTTTAAAAAAAGATAATATATTTACTATAAAAATGTGGCTGAACAGAAGAAAAAAATAATAACTAGGATTATAATACAGGTACCAACCTATCACCCGATGGGCGTAGTCATAGTGGAATAAGTAGACACAGTACAGTCAGTTCCTCTCCTACATACAGAAACACACACGTACACTTTTAAAATATATTTTAAAAGATACTGGTCTTTGTGCTCCAGACACATACACATTCCACCTCCTCCTTTATTTCTTCATTTTACTACTCAGAGGAATATTTTTTTTCAGGGTTAGAAAGGAGAGGCAAAGTAGAAAGGGGAGGGAGAGCTTGGAGAAGAGTTTGTAGCTTTAGTTTAATAAAGTTTTTTCACTTTGTCTGAATAACAAAATGTTCACTCATGCATTGAGCTGTTTAGTTTACTTTTATTCTAAAATTGGTCGTTACTTGCTTTTAAACACAGTACTACCAAATCAAACATTCTATCAAATTGATGAACTATGTCAAAGTTTGTGGAACAAATTTTACATACTAATACAAAATAGGCATAAAATGATCAGCATTATCTTTTCAAAGAACTAGACTATATCATTTAAATGTATATTTCGTTTTTAGCATTTGAAAACCGTAAAGCTGACCATATTTTTTTAAAAAAATGATAATTTAGAATATATTTAGAAGTTATTAGATGTTATTAGTTTACACATCATGTTAAAACTTTAGGACAGCTAGTCATGATCATCTTTAATCTCTCACACTACATAATTTACACAGAACTATAAAATTTTGATATTAGTGTAGCGAATTCTTATTTCTTTTTCTCGTGGTTTTATCGCACTGCATACACAATGCACTTATTTTCATGCAGAGAATAATTTTGACCAACTCTTGTAATTCTTAGAAATACAATATAGTAGCCTCTAATATATTAGAGTCTTTTCATATAAAATTGCTTCTGGTGGAGTTTTTTTCTCTATTGTACAAGTACACTGGTTCACCAAGATACTTCTAAAATGAAGATTAATCCTAGTTGGAAGTTTTTATTGTTTTTCGTTTCTTTTTACCTGAAAACAGAATCAAATCCCAAATTAGCTGTTTCTGGGTGAGAGGCGGGGATGAGACAGGAGATGGAAAGAACTTGATCCTTAAAGTGCCATCCACATCGCTTTATTTTATGTACGCCCAAAGTAAACTTGCAGGACTATGAAGCTGCCTATTATGGTATAGATCCTCCTGCTTGAGCAAGGGGTTGGACTAGATGACCTACAAGATCCCTTCCAATTCTGTTATTCTTTTAAAAAAAAATTTTTATTGATTACAAAACCAAAATAACAAACACAACACAGAGAAGAAGAAAAAGAAATAGAAAAAAAAGAAAATGATTAAAAAACTAACAATTCTACTATCGACAGTCTATGGTTCCTTGTTTGTTATCAATATTGGTGGTACATTTACAAATACATCTTATTGCGAATATATAATTATGATTTACATTTTACATTATTTACTAATATATTTTCTATTTTTGTTCTCTCCAGTCATACCAGCATTCCCAGCTTCTATAATATTCTGATGTTTCTTTTTCCTTAAGTGCTAAGGTTAACTTGTCCTTCTCTGCACAGGCTTCTGTATAACCATCTCCTCTGTTGGAATATCTGCTTGTTTCCAACACTGTGCAAAGGTTATTCTGGCTGCAGTAAGAATATGCAGTATTATATATTTGACATTTTTAGGAATTTGTCTATTAAATATCCCCAATAGGAAGAATTCTGGTTTTAATTCAATTTGCTCCGCCATTATTTTCTCTAACCATTTTTTTAATTCTATGCCAGTATCTTTGGGCTTCAGTGCAGGACCACCACATCTGAAAAAATGTTCCCTGTTTTTTTTTACATTTCCAGCAATTCGGATTCATGTTAGGAGACATTTTCGCTATTCTCAAGGGTGAGAGATGCCATCTATAAAACATTTTATAGGCATTTTCTTTATATGCTGCTGATCTTGTAATTTTATTATTCCTTGTCCAAACCTTTTCCCATTCTAATAATGCTACGTCCTATGTTTCTGCTCCAAGCTATCATGTTGCCTTTGACTACTTCCTCTTCTAATTCCATCTCTAGTAAATAATTATAAAATTTAGTTATATTTTTTTTATCTGGACCTAATAAAATTTTATCTATTTGTTGTGCCTTAGTATAAATTCCAAAAATTTTCTTGTCCTGGCTATATCTATTTTGAATTTGCAAGTAAGCCCACTGGTCTACTTGTAGCCCCAGTTCTTGGAGATCTTGCCATGATTTTAAAGTTCCTTGTGCGTCAAGGTCTTTGTATTTTATCATTTTATTAAAATCTAGATTATTTGGATGTATCATCGCCTCCATCATTGAGATCCAAATTGGGATTTTTAAACAATGTGGTTTTTTTATTTTGGTCCAATTAGCCAATAAGGAATCTCTAATTATATGTCTGTGGAAATACTTCTGCTTAATTTTCCCAATGTCCCATAAAAATGCATGCCATCCCCTCTGTAAATCATGGCCTTCTAAAAATAAGATCCTTTTATTCGACAGATTTACCCACTCTTTCAACCAGAGGAAGGAGGCTGCACTATAGTATAATTCCCAATTTGGGAGTGCCATACTTCCCTTGCTCTTCATATCTTACATTGCCTTTAGGTTTATCCTTGGTTTTTTCCCTTGCCAGATAAATTTGGTGATTATCTTAAGTACCACGAAGTAATTTTTATGTATTTTTATTGGTATTGTTTGGAATAAGTAAATAAATTTGGGCAGAATATTCATTTTTATAGTGGTAATCCTCCCTAATAAGGAGATTTGCAATTTAACCCATATCTCTAAATGTTTTTTAATTTGCTGTAATAATTTATTATAATTATTTTCCATTAGAGTTTTGCATTGAGCCGTCAACCAAATTCCTAGGTATTTAACTTTTTTTACTATTTGTAATCCCATTATCCTTTCCAATTTTAGTTTTTGTTTTTGTTAAATTTTTAGTTATTTTGTTTTTTCCCTATTAATTTTAAGTCCTGCAACTTCCCCAAATTGATCTAATTCTTTCAGTAATTCTTGACCTGTTTCAATTGGTTCCTCTATGAAAAATACCATATCATCCGCAAATGACTGGAGTTTATATTCTTTTTTAATTTTTAGTCCTTTTATTCCTGGGTTCTGTCTAATTC